GCCAGACCAAGTGTTGTTATTCTATATATGCTCTGATTATATAAATTGAAATTGAAATATGTTATACAAAAGTGATTTTTTTTAATTTAGCTAAATCTGTTTCTAAGTCAAGACAGGAAAGTGCAGATTGTTGTCCATATGTATATAAAAATTGTTATTATCAAGTAATCTTCAATAGGAGCAGGAGCAGGTACATAAGGAATAGGATTGGAGGTTAGACTCTTGTCGCTTTGCCTGTCTGGACTGATTAAAGACCAGGGTATAGGGACAGTGCTGAAAATGGGCACAGTCTTGGAAGTTCACTTTGGCGGTGGGTTGTAGAGCAGGAAAAGTTCTGTGTGAATGGCCCATGGCTCTCACTGCAGAGCAGAGGAAGAGGGAGCTGCAGTAGGTGGATGCACTGGAGATCTTCAGTAACAAGGCTGATGGGGTGCAGGCACATTTTACAGAGAGGAAGTCATAGGATTTCCCCCTTGCGAGGCTGGGGACACGGGAAACTAGCTGGCACTTTTGTGTTAATAAAGAGCACAATTTTTGTGTCAGTGACAATAATATTTATTTAACTTACTTAGCCAGGTATTAATGATCATGCTATCTGTCCTTTTGTATTTCTCCTAGTCGACTGTATAATTACTGACTCTGTTGGCCAGCTTCTGTAAAACTCAACAGAAGGTAGATCTCAAAGATATAGAATGCAATCAGCAAGCTTGTTAAAAATCTGGCTTGGCAGCTTTCAGCCCTAAACATATGCTTCAGTTTTGGCATAGGGAAAAGTCAGGAGGAGTGAGGAATCCACAGTGGCTGGGTACAGCAGAAGGAAGAGAAGGGGAGCTGCAGTAACTGGGTTGTAGAGACATGCAATATGCTGAGGCTCTGAAAGAGGTGCATTCAGTTTCACAGAATGACAGAATCAGAGAATGGCTGAGGTTGGAAGGGACCTCTAGAGATCATCAAGTCCAACCTCCCTGCTCCAGCAGGGACACCCAGAGCACGGGGCACAGGGCGGCATCCAGGTGGGTTTGGAAGATCTCCAGAGAAGGAGACTCCACAACCTCCCTGGGCAGCCTGTGCCAGGGCTCTGTCACCCTCACAGGAAAGAAGTTCTTCCTCACATGCAGATGGAACTGCCTGTGTTGCAACTTATGCGCATTGGTCCTTGTACTGGCCACCACTGAGAAGAGCTTGGTCTCTTCCTCCCTACATTCCCCCTTCATATACATATTAATCAGATCCCCTCTCAGCCTTCTCTTCTCCAGAGAAAACAGGCCCAACTCACTCAGTCTCTCCTCCTATGAGAGATGGTCCAGTCCCTTAATCATCCTCTGGACCATCTCTAGAAGCTCCACGTGCCTCTTGTCCTGGGGAGCCCAGAACTGCCCCCAATACTCCAGGTGCGGCCTCCCCAGAGCTGAGCAGAGGGGCAGGATCCCCTCCCTCCACCTGCTGCCAACATCCTCCTGATGCAGCCAGGATCCCATTGGCCTTCTTGGCCACGAGGGCACTGCTGCCTYGTGGGTAACTTGGTGTCCACCAGGACTCCCAGGTCCCTCTCCGTGGAGCTGCTCTCCAGCAGGTCACCCCCTAATCTGTCCTGGTGTCTGGGGTTATTCCTCCCCAGGTGCAGGACCCTGCACTTATCCTCATTGAACCTCCTGAGGTTCCTCTCTACCCAACTCTCCAGCCTATCCAGGACCCTCTGGATGGCAGCACAGCCCTCCGGAGTGTCGGCCCAGCTTGGTGTCATCTGCAAACTTGCTCAGGGTGCCCTCTGTGCCCTCATCCAGGTCATTGATGAACAAATTGAACAGCACCGGGCCCAGTACTGATCCCTGGGGGACACCACTGGCCACAGGTCTCCAACTGGACTCAGCCCCATTTAGCACCACCCTCTGAGCTCTGCCATCCAGCCAGCCCTCGATCCACCTCATTGTGCACTCGTCCAGACCACACTCCCGGAGCTTTCCTATGAGGATATTATGGGAGACAGTGTTGAAAGCCTTGCTTAAGTCAAGGTAGACAATGTCCATGGCTCTCCCCTCGTCCAGCCGGCCAGTCATCCCATCATAGAAGGCTATCAGGTTCGTCAGACATGACTTCCCCTTGGTGAATCCATGCTGACTGCTCCTCAACACCTTCTTCTCCTTCATATGCCTGGAGATGCTCTCTAGGATGAGCTGCTCCATCACCTTTCCAGGAACGGAGGTGAGGCTGACCAGCCTGTAGTTGCCCAGCTCCTCCCTCTTGCCCTTTTTGAAGACTGGAGTGATGTTGGTGTCTTCCAGTCCTCGGGCACCTCCCCTGCTCTCCATGACCACTCCAAGATGATGGAGAGAGGCTGAGCAAGAACCCCCACCAGTTCCCTCAGCACTCCTGGGTGCAGTCCATCTGGGCTCATAGGTTTATGGGTAGCCAGTTTTCCTAAGTGATACCTAACCCAATCCTCCTCGACTAGTGGAAGGTCTTCCTCTCTCCCAGTTATCTCTCTTTTAGCTGGGCTCTGCAGTTCTAGCCTTAGCAGTAAAGACAGAGTCAAAGGCAGCATTTAGTAACTCTGCCTTCTCAGCATCCTCCGTCACCAAGTCCCCCTCCCCATTCAGCAGCGGGCTAACATTTTCCCTCGTCTTCCTCTCGCTGCTGACATAGAAGCCCCTCCTGTTGTCCGTGGAATCCCTCGCTAACTCTAATTCCAGTCGGGCTTTGGCTTTCCTCCTTGTGCATCCTTATTCTCTGGCGATGTGCCTATATTCTTCCCACGTGGCCTGGCCCTTCTTCCACATGCTGTACGCTCTTTTTTTCTCATTAACTTTGCCTAGCAGCTCCTTGCCCATCCATACAGGTCTCCTGCCCCCCTTACTCCACTTCTTGGGGGAAATTTAAGGGGAAGAAGAGTTCAGGCAGCACTAAAATAAATGTGTGTGTCTCTCTCAGACAGTTACGAGGAATCTGAGTTGTGCTTGTTTTCTGCAAATTGTTTGCTGAATGGAGAAAGGAGATTTTCTAGCTTGGACTCTCTGGTGTATAATAAAACAGAGGTCACCATGCAATCGCAATGTAACTCTGCTAAGAAGTCGATCTGTCCTGAAACACAAGCATGGTTACGAGCACCATCAGTTAGCATCCTTGCTTGTATAATGGGGAGTCCATGAAGCGTATTCGCTTTTCAGTCTAAAGAGTTGCACAGTTTTTCTCCAGATTTCCCACCCACTGAAACACATTTTTGGGGAAAGAAGAAAGTTTTGATGTTCTCAGCCTCACACCATAAAATGTTATAAGAATATGGATGTGTGGAAAAAAGGGGCCTGCTGAAAGACTTCCTGCAAATTTAGCTGCAATTTGGCTCTGCATAAATTTAGTTTATGGCATGTCACATGAGTGAATCCAAACTGTCTACTTTCCACTGGTTTTCCTGAAATATCCATTCCTTCTCACTCCTACAGAGACAGAAAAACTGATTTTTAGCAAATGAACATGGATCAGTTGAGACACCCCTTTCTGTCCACTTTGACTTGATTGCATTTGGCATGCTCCCTCTGTGCTGCTATTACCTCTGCATGTCAAACACATCAGTGCTGGGCTGTGGGAGCAGCTTTGCCACAATTTTACCTTTCATTGGCAAATAAAAAAGTATTATAATCCAGGATAGAGGCAGGCTCATTTAGTGCAGACACACAGATGTGGCCACATTAAATGATGCAGGAGAGAGCAATCCATTAGCCTCTCGGTAAAATATGGTCTGTTCTTACATTGGACAGCTAATTAGCGATCTCGTTGTACAACACACAGCTGGGTCAAGCCCTTTGACTGATGAGAGTCGTTGGCTGATCTCCTAAAGCAATGTCATGATAAATACTGCCACTTCGGGGTTTTACAGAAAGACACTGCATTTAGTGCACTGTAAGAGATGCTTAAAAGAGCACTGGAAACAGTCAACAAAACCATATCTAAAGAAAAGAAAAAAGTATGTGTTATTACTGCATGCCATTTAATGAGTAGTCACACAAACTAAAATCCCAGTGGAGGATGCACAGAAAAGAGTTGATATCAGATGCTAACTCAAGTGAACACTGTAGCTTTGCTTTCCTGACTGATATTCTCTAATGCATTGTTTGCTGAATAATAGATTGTGCAGGATTTTTTTTTTTTTTTTTGTATATTGTGAAAACAGGGCTGAGAGATATTCCATTAAAATGTAGACCAAGACACATTCAAATAAGCTACTTGGCTCATGTTGTTCTGTGTCTTTTTTTCCAAGACTGCAAATTTTACCAACAAGAAATAGAGTGGGTTTTTTTTGTTCACTAGCTTCTCGTTTTTGTCAGTTTATATATTACAGTTTTTTCTTCATCCTTCTCTAATGCCTTAGATACTAGAAATGCTGTTTTCTTTTTGTGCATGACAGGAATTCAATGATCAGTAAATTTGTATGTATTGCATGAGCTTTATCAAGGTAGTTGGAATTTTTGTACTGTAGGACTCTGTGATTTTACAACCCTTGAGCAGGCTGCTAAAGGTTATATAGTTATCCAGGACACAGGCTACATCCTCTGTTGCACTTGTTGTCTAATCAAGGCTACCTATTTAATAGTTTAATAGTTGTAAAAGCATTTTCTTATGCCTCAGAAAGTTGTAATGTGTCAAAGTGCCTTCCTCTGAGTCAAACTTTGGCATGTCAACATCTCCTCAATTGCTTCCTAGAAGTTACTGTTGTATTAAAAGAATCAATAATCATGCCTGAGATCTTTTTCTTTTTTCATGGGTGTGATGCTATCTTTGCCTTCCCAATTTTCAGTTTCCTTTTCATATGACAATATGTGCCCAAGGATCTCACGCTTAGCAGCTTTACAGAAAAAAAATGCTGCAGAGAATTAGTTGATTGACTGTATGTTATGAAGGTACCTGTCTGCACATTGATGCTATAGGTCATTACTGAGACATAAAGTTACGCTGGACTATACTATATCTAACACTCACTTAGATGTTTTGACTTTCTGTCTTTCTAGTATCTGCATGCAAATGGGATTGTGCATCGTGACTTGAAGCCAGAGAATCTGCTCTATGCAACACCAGCACCGGATGCACCATTAAAAATTGGTAAGTAGCATTAAATATATGCCAGATATATTATTTTGTATCACTAGAGTCTTTTTCACACTATCATTTTTTCCATGGTTCACACTCATACTCAGGTGAACCAGCATGTTGCTTGTTCAGTGGCAGAAAGGGGGGTGATTTTAGAAATAAGAAGTAGGCTAGTTTGGAACAAGAAGGGAATCTTTCCAAATCTTCTGACAAATGGAACTGTCCTGAGGACATACATTTTGATATCGGTCCCATACATCTTGCGCCTTCTAAGCCAATGAGCATTAGAATGATGCGGGTTTTTTTTTCTTAAATGCTATGCTTCTTTATCTTTTGACTGGTATTATTGCCCTGTTTAAATTGACTTTTGATGTACATAGAGTGATAGTGTTTATAAAAATAAAGTATATTTCCGGTTTAGATAAACAATATATAAAAGATAAACAACATAACTATGCATATCCAAATAAAATGCGACCTACTTTTCTCCTCATCTGAAGTTAAAATATTCATTTTTACAATTGTGCTGAAAAAAACAGAAGCATTTTTATTAGGTATTTTTAAAGGCCATGTTGTTATCACCTAAGCTGAAATTTGAAGAATCTGGGTTTATTCACAGTGAAATTGGAACAAGCAGTCGAGACCCAAGTTATTCTGTCTTTCAAAAGATAAGATGTGCAAGCACCGGGTGTAACTCTATGAAGGTTCTTGCTGTCCAGGCAGCAATTCAGTGAGAAGTGCTGCAAACCCACAGGATGATCAGGGCTTGTACTGACCCCAACTCGGCAGTCCTGGAAGCCCCATGTCAAAATACTGATGGGATTTTAGCTTGCAGGGCACTCGGTCTGTAGTAACTGATGCATGTGTTTTGAACACAAAAGCTATTCTGCTGATTTTACTGATTACTACTGATTACAAAGTAAAAGCTGAATATATACTTAAAATGAATTTCTGGATCACTCCTTCTGTGATGAAAGGCAAAACATATTCCAGGCAATTTTTGATTTAGCTTATAGGTTCACTGAAGCCCTTCACAACTCCAAGAGTTCTGTTTATTAAATACATATTCTTCATTTTAAAGATTTATTTTGTGTCCTAAGCATGTTTTTAATGCCTGAGGCATCCAGTAGAATTTATTATTATGTATTCTTCACATAGAAAACTAACTGCATTTCAAAAATATTTGGTTACTTAAGAGCCAGTGATGCTCACTTGTGTGGACAAATTTTGCTTCAGGATAATCGTATGGATGGATTTATTTAATTTATTTGCATCTTTGGAAATGGCAGCACTGTTCATTCAATGCAAAAATGTTCTTTTAATTACATGTACAATCTAAGATAAATGATTTTACAAATAAGTAAAAGCATTAATATTTCTTTAAAATCTTAACAGCTGATTTTGGACTTTCCAAGATTGTGGAAGATCAGGTTACCATGAAAACGGTTTGTGGAACTCCAGGATACTGTGGTATGTTACTTGATTATTTACAGTACGGTGAACTTAGCATATGACTGTTACATTTTCTCTTTTCTTCATGAGATGCTTCTTACTAACTTAAAAATTCAGAAAGCTTTCATAAAGCAGAAATAGAGAACTACAATTCAGAACTGGCACTAGGTAGAATTTTTCTAAGCTCATACTCTAAAGTGCTGAAGCTTAATAATCAAAACATATGTTATGGTATAAGTTCATCAGTTGCATGAAAGTAAGTCCAACTGTCATAAAAATAATGAAAGTAGTAAAGTAATACTGGAGAGGAACCAGCAGAAATATGGGTTATGTAAGGTTCATGGAAAGCATTAAGATTTATAGAAGTGATACTCAATATGAACATTTGACATCATTACAGGGAATTTATCTTAAAAAGATACGTTTAATCACAGAGGGAGCAGAATAATTCCATACGGTATGATCATAGCTTCAGCCACATAAACCAAGTCATTTCAGTAAGTGCATATTTTTAAATGCAGTTTAAATCTTAACTTGAACAGGCCCTTCTGTTCACTGCTAGAGCTGGACCTGAGTAATGGAGGATTATGACAGCACGGAGCACTCTGTGACCGACCCTGTCAGCCAGGGCGGGCGGGTAGATCCGCTGGTCTCTTCTTGCAGTAAAAAGGCTCCGGAGCTTTTAATTGATGTGTTTTTCTGCAGAACAAAATTGGAGTGAAATCAGAGGTTGGATTCAGTTTTACTATGACAGAGATTCAGTCCAAGCTGTTTTTTGCCAAATTGACTAATTTGCCTGTGCAATCACAGTACCCGAACAAACGTGATTCTATGGCTAGCTTCAGAGGAAACACAAGTCTCTTGGGGATAGCAAAAGCAGTGTAGTACATAAGGACAGTCATTTTAACCCTTTAACTAATTTAGATATTAGGGTATTGAATATTTGTTTGTGTTGGTTTGATATTTTTTAATTGATGGCCCTTAAGGATAGTTTTAGCTCTATCTATCTATCTATCTATCTATCTATCTATCTATCTATCTATCTATCTATCTATTTATCTATCTATCTATCTATCTATCTATATTTCCTATCTGTCATAGGAAATATGTGCACACTTTATAAACTGTGCTTTGGCTTGGTTATTCTTTTCTTGTATGTTTGTGGGTTGTGTTCTTTTGTTTTTGTTTTTTTCTCAAATGGCATGTGCATAAAGTTAGTACCATAAATGAAACGGTTGTCTGTCCACCTTTGATTTGCTTGGAAAGCAATAGGAGTCTTTCTTCTATGGGAAACCATTCCCTCAGTCTGAAAAGCCCATCTTTGTACTATTTTTATTAGAGAAGACAGGTTTAGAAATTTCTGAACTGATAATCCTGCATCCCTTGAAAATCAGAGACAAATTCCTATGGATTTGGTGGTAAATTAATTCTGACTAAATATTTATAGCATATAACAATTACAGCATAACTATTAAAGATTAAAAGATAACAGCAATACAAGCTAAACTGATTAGAATTTTTATTACCACTTCTCACAACTTCTGCTTTATGTTACTTTATCTATCTGAAATGATTTTAGTGTAACCTCATATTAAAGTACACATAATTTCCTTGAAAAGGAAGTCATGGCTTATTCTTACATCTTTGTGGTCTTTGTGGTTGTTAATAATGTAAGGCATCTAACTTGAAAGCAAAAGAAATATCCATGGATACTTGACTATTGAAACAAATGTCCAGAGAATCACATTTATGCAGAAATACGTTTTCATGCTGTCATACAGGAGAATGTTGTTTGATAAGCAAGCTGAAAGAAACATAGTATCAGTTACAGCATGAGTGGTGGGCCAGGTGGTCTTTTCCTCCATTGCTGTGGGAAGCAAGAGGCGCGTTAGCCTGTGCATCTCCTGTGGGAGCCACGATGGACGTTGCCCCTTGGCTCAGGTAGGGCTGGGAAGCTGAGCAGGCACATGAGAATTCCCAGCTGCCTGCAGCTCTGGACAGGCATCTGCACAAGCTCCTGGTGCTTCATGGTTGCCACAGCACCTATCAGCTGAGGGATGGCCACCTCCTAGACATGGCCATGGGAAGCTTGCCTGGACTTCAAGGGCCAGAAGATATGTGAGATATGGGTCCTGCAGTGCCAGAACATGCCAGGCAAAAGAGGATTAGATCTGCCTCGGCAAACTACTTGCCCTGCATTACACTAGGCAAGGCACTTTCATGTCTGCAAACCAGCTAATGGCTGGGGAAGTTGGGCAGCAGATCTACTGGGATGGTACATATTCTTGTCCCACAGCCAAGGTGATTTTATGAAAAAAAAAACTAATTTGGGACATCCTCTTGCTGAATGGGCTTGTAAAAAAGATTATTTTGATCTCAGGCAGACTACTATATGAGCTGGAATGCAGAGCAGTAAGCATCTCAAGTAGTTTGGGACACAACGGAGCTGAATCGTGCAGAAGCTAAGGGCAGCACATAGAAATGAAAGGTTAAAAGATGATCTTTAATGATTACACAGGTGTCCTCTGGTAGAGAGTAGAAAAATGAAACATCTGTTGAATTTTAGTGTGAATTATGAATTCATACTGTGTATTGTGTATGTGAATATTGCTACCTGTGCACTGAATTAGATACGTGAGCAAGGCATGTTTTACCCTAAGAGAGGACAGAAGGTCTCATGCTGAGACATGACAGACACTCAAATATCAGCTTCTGAATGATTGATGACAGCTGAATAATAAACCAACTAGACGCTAACAGTATAGAGATACCTTGGATTTACAAAATGTTCTAACTCCCAAGCCTGTATGAGGAGTCCCACCGGAAGAAACATGTTCAGTACTGGCTGGGTTTCTCCTAAAAGTAGTAAGTAGTTTATCGTGCAGAATGGAATCATTTAACTAAAACTTCTGCTCCTGTGAAGAAAAGATGCGGAAAGTGAACTTGTGGACTTACATATATACTCCCCTCTAGATGTGGTTTTGCAAGTGTTGAGAAGAGGGAAAGCCCACTGCTGTGGACCTGCTTGCTACTTGCTCCTTAATTCAGCCCTGGTCCTTCTCTGGTGCAAGGACACCAGAGGACCAGAGACTAAGGACTCTTGTATCCTACTTGCTGCTCTCCTAGACCTCCTCAGCAAGGCACCTTACAGCCTATCCTGTTACGTGGGTTTAGTCTATCCCTAAACTTTGCACTTGCTTTTATTACTTTTGGAGCAAAGGGTAGAAGATTTTGGTGAAGGCAATAAAGTTTACTGTCTTAGCTGTGGTCACAGCACGGCTGATAATGTGATGCAGATGACCTGGCCATTAGATTGTGCGATGCCTTTATTAAGAGCACACAGGTGTCAAACATGCCCTGGAACTAGTCCTAGTCTTTTCAGTTTCATAAAATAGTATTTTAGTATTAATTACTCAAATTCTAGCTACCTTCTTTCATGGTGGTAATACTATGCATGCTATTAAATTGTAGTTAGTGTTTAGTCCTTCTTATGCCTATGTTTGTACACTCTTAAAAGTAGATTAAATCTTATTCCTAAAAGTAATCTTTAATCCCAAGATTAGAGCTCAGTCACATTGATTTGGCTGGGAGCATTCAGTTTGAATGTCTGTGCTGAGAAAAGAAGAAAGTAGGAGCTTTGTCCCTACTGACATGGATTTGCAGTCCTTGCTTTAGCAGCTGAGTTAATTGACTAACGAGCATTCCTGGTACTTGGAAGATATTCAAACATTACTTTTCAGAAATGGAGGAAACACAGGAGGAACACTGCTGAAATGGCAAATTAAGCTGTGAATAAATGATAGTCACAGGCTACCAAATCCAATATCCAGCCCACCCATCTTTCAACAGCTTCTCCACAAAAGGCAGAGCAAGGGGAAAAGTACATGTGTGTCTGGATATTTTGCCATCAGACCTTTTCAATCTGAAGTTCCTGGGATGCAGAAGACTGAAATCAAGAAGATGGTCACAAATGTGCATTATGCATCTTCTTCTGAATGAACTTGGGGGCAGAGGTGGTTGCTTATAGTACCGAACAGGCCAATACAGAACTATGATTCATGATTGCTGTGTTACAGACAACATCTCTACTAGCAGTAATATTTTAGTACAATCCATTCCCGAGAGAAAACTCTTGAATTAAAAAGAAAAGTGTTTGCTATGTATCTAACTGTGTAAACACAATCCGGATAGCAAAGGTAGCTGCTGTGTTATGCTAATTTACATAACTAGTATTCTTTTTTTTTTTTTTTTTTTTGGTCTGGTTTATGGCCATTTTACAGTACTGAGGCAGAAGGTGGAGAAAAGTGAAAAAAAAAAGACATTAAGTATGTGTCTCCTGCTCTTATTCAAAGCAAGAAACACTATGTCCTCTATAAGCAGAAGCATGTCAGCCATAAAAAAATTCTGTTTGTTTTGTTAACCCACATGGTCTTAATGGACATGGAGGCAGAGCTCAAAAGCTCTTTTTCTGTCCCTGCTGCATCTCTCCCTCTGAGGCCATTGGTTGTTTCACCTCTCAGGTGCCCTGGTTCACTACAGGCTGGTCTGAATTAAATGCAGTTGGTATCTGGATATTTCTCTAAATATCCTGCCTCTTCACCTGTTTATTCAGTAGAAGAATAAGGCAACAGGAAGAGTCTGTATTTAGACAAGCTTCCACATGCAGCAGTGATACACAGAGAACTTGCTGATTAGTGTTACAGAGAACTTAGTGATTAGTGTTGTTTGCTTTTTACATTAGTGCTTTTTAAAAATACTTAGTATGTGTAAATCCTTCTGGTAAATTGAAGAAATTTAAGGCACTATGCCTGTCTCCTAGGTGAAAATCAGGGCTTGTGGGCTGCTGGTGGCAGGCAGTGGGTTTGGGATGCCTGAGCAGATCACCAGATCTGACACACAGACAGCATTGGTGTAGGTGGGCACAGCAAGTCTACTGTGCCCAAGAAATGCAGCAGTTATCACACCTGCAGTGTAGAGCAGGAGATTTCAGGAGCCAGGATGCGATGATGTAGGTATGATAATACTGATAGAGTGGGTTTTTTTTTTTTTTAGAAAGCCAGTTGATACATGGAAGTGTGGCTCAGCACACAGAGTCTTATTAATTATTTTTTTTTCAAAATTAGTTGTATGTTTTCTTTCCTGTGGCAGTAGCATCAGCAAATATTGTCTGAAGGATGAACCAGTCTGCAGAGCTTTCCTTCACGTGTGCCTGTCAAGCTGCTAGGGCAGAGATTAACTCCATTCCGTCACAGGTCCCAGGTTCCCAGAGACTGCCTTTCCTTTTTACCTCTTCTCTGCTATAGCAAAAGCAATTCCCTGAAATGGCCTTGTCTTTTCTAGGGCTGAGCTGCTTTGTCAAGAGTTAAAAAAAGCTATAAAGCTTTTCTTTAGATAGATTCAGAAAGAAATGATTCTGAAGCAATCTGTCTTGTAGTCCATCATAGTTCAAATATTGAGCTTCACTGAAATCTCTTCAGTGTGTACTAAAGCAGAGAGAAAAAAAAAAAGCAGAGTAAAAGATTTGGGGAATGAAGGAATGGACTAGAAAGAGAGAGAAAGGAAAATCTGGATCTGGTTGGAATGTTTTCAGGAATAAAATGTGTTTACAATCTTAATTAACCTTGGCACCACAATTAAATGTATTTCTGTACAAATAACAAATACCAAACTGAAGAAACAATCTCCTTTGTCAGACTGCAGCTCCAGGGCTAATGTAGCTCTCTGTGGTTCCTTTCACAAATTTGAACATAAAGAGTGATTTGAAAGTTCACCTTTCTCTTTACACATTTTCTGGCTCTGCTCAGACTTGACACCTGTAGCTTTGTGAATGGAACTCATTTGTTCTGTGAATGGAACTCATTTGCCTAATTAAGAGCTTAAAGGAGCAGGCCATGACTATTCTTCAAAGGTGGTTAGAGAAGCACTTTGAATTTAAGTCATATGGCATTTGAAATTCTTGGGTTTTGTGACTGTTGTTTCTGCATTCAACTTTTGTCTTGGTAACAAGGGTTTTATCATCTGCAGCACCAGAAATCCTGCGTGGATGTGCCTATGGCCCCGAGGTGGACATGTGGTCTTTGGGGATTATCACCTACATCCTGTAAGTGCAGGCGGTGCCACAGAGTGGTATGCGGGTGATCCATTTGCAAGCACGGTCAGGTTCTTATGACATGAGCTCTGCTTTTGGAGAACAAATGATACAAATGCTATTTAAATAAGTTCAATGCTAAAGGAGCATGGAAAAGAGTCATATTGTGTATTTCATGTGTAATGTTTATTAGTCAATGGCAGCAAACCGTGCAGAATTGTACTATTAATGTGCACAGATAACACTGAAGCTACTTAGATAAACTGTGTACAAGACGTAACTACAATCATCACAGAGTGAAAAATCGTAAGTGTGGCAGAAGAAAGTGGAAAAAAATGCATTTTATTGCAGACCAGGTATGCATATGAATGGTTGCTTCATTGTAGGTGTCATGAAAAGAAATTAAGTGTATTCAGTAATTCTGACAACCTCTGCATATCAGCAAGCACAGCTGCCCACCTCTGTAAACCACACAGACCTAGGACTGTGCTCAGAAATCCTTGTATCGGGTTCACGCTCAACTCTGGTTCAGTCCTTCAAAATAAATGAGATTGCTGGCTTAAATGATTTAATGTTAAAGGTGAAATGTTCCATGTTTGACAAAATAGCTAGATGTATGTTTGACAAAAGGGGTGTAAGTGATTCTGGTCGTGCATATTTTACATATTTGAAATTGCAATTACAGACCAAAATGTTCAAACAGTCGTGTCTAAAGGTAGGCACTTATATCTGCTCTGTAGTATGGCTAGTTCTAATTCAATTGGTAAGGATTGATATTGTTTTATTGTATCAATGGTTTCTGTCAAAGGCAAACTTTTGAGAAAGGAAAATTATATCTGTACTTTTGACACTTCTCTTTATGGGAAAAAAAATAATTTCAGTTATTTCCTTTAGCCACAGTAATGCTAAGCAGGCTTGTGCAGTTGTATACAGTATTTGCTGGATACCTTTTATGGAAGAAAATAGGATTTTATAAATATACATAAAAATAAGACTATGTACTATTATTCTAATTTTCTTTTGGACTGTTTAGGACTTACTAAATGTGTTCAACAAGTCCAGTGTGTAATAAAGGAAATATTTTCCTTATATATTTGTAAGAAGCACTTGTATTTCTATTTTTTTCTATTAAAAATACTTCTCAAGATATATACACTTTATCCTGTACATATGCTTCCAATAAGGTCATAGTTCTCCTTTCATCTCCCTATAAATAATAGATTATATTATTCTTATATAATGTATGTTAAAAAACACATGCATATAACAACAATCAGTTTTGGAGACCATGCTTTGAATCTTTGTCATCATTTTGCTGTCATTTTGTTATCTTCTCCTTTTCAAATGTAATTCCTTTTCTCAAGGTCTGGCTAAAGTCTATAGAGCATCACATATCAAATAGTGCCTATCATATATCAAATATTTTATAACCTGTATGCTGACAGTGCCAACTTTAGTGTCATTCCATTCATATTTTTATTTCAGTGTAGAGTTTAATCATCAACAGATCAAAGTGACTTTTCTAGGGCTATACATGCACTTTGTGACACCAGTTTACCAGTCCATCTATCATCATCCTGTGCTGATACTGGGTGGTTGCATCACACTGGGAGAAGAACAGGTTGTTTTCCAAAGTTAATTAATTTCTGATTATTTCTTAAAGCAGTTCTAGTGCCTCTTTTTTTTTTTTTTTTTTTTTTTTTTTTAAGTACTTTTCAGAGATATTTCAAATTTGCCAGTAGGGCTGGTGGTGAGACTGGAGGGACACCTTTGGTTTCAATCAACAAGAATGTCTAGACTGAGCCATGGGCTTGCTCAATACTGAAGGATTCAAGGATGGCTCTACTAACTGGAATTCACAGCATCATTTGGTCTGAGCTTGCTATCAAGTGTTGGCAAAGCTCCTATTTAAACGTATGGAGTGTTATTTGCCATATACACCTTTTCCTTGTATCGGCAGTTGCATCTTTTCCAAACCTTCCAACATGCCACGTTCACCTACCACAGTGGTATAGATATGTACATACAAGTTAATGTTCTGACTGGGACAGATGCTTGCTGAAGTCCTCCTCATCCTGTTCTTCTCCTCCTCCTTCTCCCCTATCAAAATCCATTTAATCTACAAGGATAAGCCAGCCAGAAAAGGTCCTACCCTCTTGCACTTAGCTGTCTCTTCCATTTAGCTTTAATAATGCTGCACATTTTAAACCCCTTTATTGAGTGTAATGCTTTGTAAGTCCACTTTTTTTTTATGGATTAAAAGCTAAGATCAAAAAGGGATCTGTAATGTAAGATCATTCACTTCATTAATCCTGCAGCCTTAAGGGCAGTATTGCATGTCTCAGCCTCATATTTTAGTAGAAAGAATGTGTATATGTGGTCTCAAAGTATATAGCTATGTGTACCCCAAAAATAGTGGGCTTAAGAATTAACTACCATGTTGTATGTGTGTGTAGAGCTGCATCTTACCAATACGGTCTTAGTTCCCATTACTTTAAGAACTTTGACTTAAACTTCAATAGCATAGTTGCTATTTTTGGTGCAAATTATATTAAGACGTACTGATGTAAATTGTCATAATTCCAGGAAAATCATTTTTTACAGTTCCATGAGAATAAAGGAACAGTCCTCTTGTATGACAAGTTAGAAATACTATTGCACATAATTTTGCACATTTGAGACACAGCTAGTAATCAGCAAATGTAGAGGTCTTGCCTCTGGTCAAAATAGCATGGATTTAATTAAAGGTGTTTTTTTTTTTACCAACTTACTTAAAAGGTTACAAAACACTGTCTAGTCACTTCTAATTGAATTTTAAACTTGTTTACATTGATTTTTCTTTATTCAATTTGTAATTGAATTTAAATGAATCAGCAATAATCTGATTTAAAAGAAATCAAGAGCAGCCACACTTGGTTTTACCCTGGTTTAAAAACCTAATTTGAAATTTGCAGCTAAGGTTTCATGTAGACAAAAATCTATCTTTTGAAATGAAAAAAAAAATTACTTTTTAGGTAGAAGCATATCCATAAAAACTGTTTGTAAAACTCCATTAGGTGATAGTAGTGAGTTATAACAAAAATATTTTTAGGAGTAAATTGAAAATCACTTAGTTGAGCCTATCACTGCCACAGACAAGATAAACAGACATTTCTTCAACCCTTATAAACATCTACAAGAAGCCAAGGAGATTTCAAATGCATGAGGCTACATTCGATATATTCTGTGTGTAATTACATTTTTTCCATGCTATGTCTACAGTGACAAGTATTCTTTTATGGCAGAGCTAGCCATCGCGGTAGTAATGTTCAACCAGAACTATGTCTAATGCATAGATTCTGCAAAGTTCTGAATGGAGTTAAACTCAAAATGGATGTATATTTGGAAAAAGCTTGTTTTGTCTGTTTAACCCAATGTCTCTAGTATGTTTCCTCTTCGACTAATCCTGCAATTAATTCTTCAGTCTACTGAGAATACCAGGATTTCTTCCCAAAGCTTACATTTAAGATTTCACCTGCTACGCATTTGCTACTCAAATGGTAGCTGAGGGAACTGGCTTATAGATGCAAATGAAGTGCTGAGAGTAAAGGTTTGATTCCATCCCAAGTTAAGCACGTTCTGTTTACAAGCAGCAAGTTACCAAATCTCTAACAATATGGGGAAAAGAATGTATTTTACTACTTGTACTTTAAGGATTAGAAAGACTCTAAACTCAGGCAGTTTTCTACTGCTGAATTTGTATTCTTCTTCTGAGATTGTTATCTGTAATGTGTCTTCAAATGTCTCCATATGGGAAGGGAGAGGATAGAAGGAAGCGGCTAGTTTTCCAGCTACACACAACTCTGCATCTTGCCAGCATCAGTGCTGAGGGCAGGTTGCATGTGTTTGATCCACTGGATTTCAAAACTCCTTAGTATTGGCTTTGGGTGCAGTGCTGATTGATGCGGTTGTGTAGAGCATGAGGAAACGAAGGATTAAGAGGAAACAGAGCCATGACGAGATATCGCAGGTAATGGTTTTGAAATCACCCACAGAGCACTGCCAATTTAAGCCTGAGGAAAGTCTCAGCCAACAAGGGCAACATGTAGAAAAGCAGCTACTTTAAAAAAATCATCTGGAAACGCTTATGTTATGAAGCTTTCTAGCAGTCGATGCAAGCCTTAAACATGGTCTCCCTCTCTATATTATCTCTCTATATCAGTTACCTAGTAACCAGGAGATACTTTTGGCTGGAGCAGTTAGTGGCCTGGCAGCCCTGCTCAGGAAATTTATTTCTTTGAAAATGGAGCCTACTTGAAACAAACTCAAAAAAGATGGAGAGAGAGACCTAAAGCCAGGCAAAAGAGCATGGCCATCGCTCACCTGTTTGGGCGCTGTATTTGGAGACTAGATCCCTGTATTTTAACCCATGTCTGCCAGATTTGGAAATAAATGTGCTCACACTGGATTTCTCTTTTCTCTCTAGCTGTATAACATGACTATTCCATTCCACCCACAGACTACACACAGTGAAAGCAAAAAAAACCCATTTGTTCCTTGAATATCTTTCCCCATTTCAGGACAGTATGCACAATGATTGCCTTTTTAAAAAATAAGAATGTGTTAAAATATAATTTTGCATTTGTCAGAATGGCATCCTTCTTTGCAGTTTGCTGTTGTTTTCCTGTCATCATCTTGATGTTCCCTATTGCATTTTCCTGAAACAGTTCAGCAGATAGAATTTCTTTTTTAATGGATAATATTTATTGGTTAAATAGGAAGTCACTTTAAAACATCTGATTACATGTGCAGGTGTGATTAAAGTGCATTGAAGCAGCAGGGAAGATACTACATAAGTGGAAATCGTTTCTTTGAATTTGCATTTCCCATAAAGTTTTGTGAAAGATATCTAATTTGTAAATTATATCTTTAGTCAGATAATTTGCGAGGTATCATTTGATGAAGTGCTCTTCCACTCTGTCTAGAGAGACTTCAGATGGAAGAAGCTTCCTATAGAGTTTGAAGAGTTAGTAACAAGCTTGGTGTGAAATAGAGCTCAGTGAAGATAACATCAAAGCTGAAATACTAAATTCATGTTTCTTATCTGCCTTGAAAGTGGAAGACTCTTCTGGAAGGGAAGGTATCACTAGACCAGTGGACAAGGGATCAAAAGGACAAGATAGTAGTACCCACTAACCCACGTATTCTAAATGAACTCGGGTGAAATAACTCCTAACAGAGGCGTAACTTCTCCTGTCCTCTGGTGCTTTATCACCTGATAAAAGGTAGAAAACAGAGTAAGAGTGAATGGTCGGCCTTGCTCCTTGGATGTGAGATCTAAGGATTCTGATAATAAATCTGTGAAAATTTTAACTCAGGGCTCAGAAAAAAAAAACTAAAAAAAAAAGAGCAAACCAAAGATAGGAATTATTCGCAAAGAAATTGAGACTAAAATAGAAAACATCATTATGCTAATATGCAACTTCATCATGTGCCCACACTGACTGTTGTTTGCACCCACTTCAAAAAGACATGGAATTGGAAAAAAAACTCACAGAAAAGGGCAGGGATGAGCACAGGTTTCAGGATAAGAAGTAATTAAATAGTCTAAACCAGAGATCAGCAGATGGAAAATACACTAGAAATAGTTTGTGGCACATGGAGGGTAAATGGAGATGAACTGTTTGCTGATTTTCTTTGGAAGAAGCTTTAGATTCATCAAACAGAACTGCCGAATGTCAGGTTCCAGGCAAAGCCCTTGAAGCTGCTTGCAGGGTGCGTGATGGGGCTGCTCAGCACCACCCCCAAGCCACTGTGTTTGCTAGAGGTCTATATCCACTCAAATAGGGTCTGAGAAAAATTCATAAAAGTCTGTGGAAGTTTACTAAATATAAACATGTAATTTATGATTCAAGAAGTCTTTGAACCATAGATTACTGTTTTTTTCTGTTCTTCCAAAGTTGTCTGCTTTTAAATAGTCAGAGGATGAAGAGCTTAAAGAGCTTTTGAGCTGACTTTGTCATATCCTTGTGTAAAGGAGCACATGAGCAATTCTTCCTCTTCTTCTATGAGCAATTTAATTGGAATTACGTGATAACAGAAAATTTACAACTTGATCAGCCTTTTCCAGTGCTTGTGAATGCTTATAGCCAACATTTTGCTTTGCTGTACTGTAGAGCTAACAGTTGAGTATAAAATTTAAGTGTGCATACAGATCCTCTCCCCTGAACAGGTGGGCGGGATGTGAAGTGCAGAAAGATCTTACTGGGAACTGTTTCTCACAGCCTGAAACCTATTAATCTTCAATAAACTTGTCTGTTGCTTTTTTTATCGTTGCAGACTTTGTGGCTTTGAACCATTCTATGATGAAAGGGGAGATCAGTATATGTTTAAGAGGATCCTGAACTGTGAATATGACTTTGTTTCCCCCTGGTGGGATGATGTGTCTCTGAATGCCAAGGATTTAGTAAGTGCCGCAAAAATGAGAGCATAATATCTTTGCTGATAAATATTATGTTAGCATCTCTTTCACTGACAAAGGCAGTGGGCATTTGGGGAGGGAGGGTCTTGCCTGGGGGGAGATTAGTTAGTTAAATGTTCATGTGACTCCCTGAATATTAGGCAGTTATGAAACACCCCCTGGGAATTCAGTGCTGTAATTTTGCAAGGTATGGAACACTCAAAACTGTGGATATTCAGATCTTCTAGGTAATTAAGCCACAGCTTTGCCACAAGTCACCAGTTGTGACAGTATTCAAACATGCCAGCTTTCCTTCAAGCTCTAAGGTGTTTCATCATTCCTTTTTGTGGAGTATTCACCTTCAAGGAGAACCGAGTATTGTGCGGTTTTCAACTCTGAACTTCAGAGAAAGGCCAAGAAAATACATTGGAAAGTTGAGGCTCCTCTTCTTGATGACTGTGTTTTTCTGTCACTTTAAGTTCTTTCTCAATAGATCTTTCTCAATAATGAGTACTCATTACCCTTAAGTATGCTCTATTAATAAAAGGCCAGGGCTGGTTTGGTATCTGCACTTTGTGTCATTATTACTGAATGAAGTAAATTCTGTTATTTCAATAACTCAGTTCCATGTTGCTTATACAAACTATCCCATAAAGTACTACATTATTTAATGATTCAAAGGACTTAAAGATGCCTCGGATCAAAGGCACTGTAGAAGTTAGAAGTATTTTGTTGTTGAATTTGATTTTAAGTTTTTCTGGGCTCAAGAAGATATCATTTAGTGCCTTGTGTTGTCAAAAGTCAGATAAACAGCAGTTCACAGCAAAGGTGCATGTATGCTCCCTGTATGCAGAGAGATTTGATCCAGACCAATCCCTACCACTTCCCTACAGTAAAGCTCAGAGTTTTAGTTCGAAAGGTTTGGTAGCAGCTCCTAGGCCATCATGAAGCCTGTGGCTCTGAAGACACAATTCATACTGTGGCAGTGTGGGGATGTTTTGCTGCAGTGATTTATTTAGATCTCTTTGGTGGGCTTACAGCAGTGTGACTGTACATTGCACTACCAACTCTTCATGGAACTGTGTTTCTTTGATATTTGAAGGGCCTCTGTGGAGGATTTTTAGACAGCCCTGCCCTTGCACTTGGTCTGCGGGGCAGTGATGGAGCCCTGTGCTGTCACAAGTAACTCACTCCCAGAAGGTGCACAGTCACAAGAACAGCATAACTGTGCTATGTTCTGTGCCAGCGCTGTACTTCTTAACTCCATCCCCACCCTTCGTATAAAACATCTCTTGTTTCAATGTGCAAGTATCCCCATGAGCTGCAGGTTGGCTGGGCACCCCTACACACCCAGCAGTCCAGTGCAGCTCTGCATCAGTGATACACCTGCAGTGACACATTCCCAAAAGTTCCCTCGTGTGGTGCTTGGAGAGGTGCAGCTCCTTTGTGACAGTGGTAGGAGCAATGATACAGATAGATAGCACTATTTTCAGCATGGTCTAAGGAAGAAATATTGGTACAGCAGGTTATGCAGAGCCTGAAGGAGACATTTGACTTTCTCTCTCTAGCAGTGATTACATAGTACAAGTCCACAAAGGTATTGCACAGACTAGAACTTCAGCTTTCTAATCCAGTTTAAAGCCTGTTTGACCCCAAAAGAGAGAGAGGTGCTTAAAAAACTGACTGAGAAGGAGTAGTCTTAGAATGTGTTAGTGTTTGTGTGACACTTTAGATGTACAATAGTCTATATAAGTATAGTCCAGTTGCAGTGCCCAATATTCTTTCCAATAGTGGTAACTGTTTGATTCTTTTTCTTTTCTGCTGGCTTTTTTTCCAGGTATTATTTACAGAGCACTAAAAAATATCAAAATAAAAACACATAGAAAGACTTGATTGTAAATTCTTTCTGATTTCTAGAATACTTTTCGCTAAACTCAGAGAAACCAAGACAAAAACACTGAAATGCAGAACTTGGTAAATGTCACTGGAGAATTAAGTCATCTGTATTTCTTCTACTCTAATGCAGGTTAAGAAGTTGATTGTTTTGGACCCCAAGAAACGCCTCACCACTCTGCAGGCCTTGCAGCACCCATGGGTCACAGGGAAGGCAGCGAATTTTGCACATATGGACAATGCACAGAAGAAACTCCAAGAATTCAATGCTCGGCGTAAACTTAAGGCAAGTCTGTGGACATAAGCTCTGTGCTGGCTACAAAAAATGCAGCAAAATTAGGGACCTACATAAGCCTTGCACAGCGTTCCATAACAGCGTAGAACCTTTTTATTTAAGATGACTGATGAAGTACTTGAAGCTAACTTTGTCATTTTCTGCAGTCAAATAGATACATGTGAGGTTGCCTGAAAACTCTGAGCAGATTAAACTGCTGGGAATAAGCCCAGCTTTCACATACCCTATCCTCTCGTTCATCTCTGTGTCTATTCGTCTTGTTTATTGCTGCATCCTTGAGTTGCAGAAGAGACGCAGTAGAATTCTGAATAGTTTCCTCATGAGGTTGTATATCCATTAATCGAGAAGAAATCTAATCTATCATTGTGTATTCTATTTTTTACCTAGTTTTACCACCTACAATTTCTTTACCAATGATTACAAAGCAATAACATAAGGCGTTCTTCTCTATGATTTTGAGTCGGCATTTCAGATGCTTTGTAAAATGTATGAGTTGAGAATAACAGCTCCAAAACATGCATTTCCAAGTACCTCTGAGAGCAAATGAGCAATTGCATTCCCTATCTGGAAATTGAGCATTGCTTGGCAGGAATGTATGTGGGACCTGCAATGAAAATTGAAACAAATTCTCCCAATTGCTTCTCCACCATCTAAACTATGTAGCTATCATGGGAAGATACAGGAAAAATGGCAGGAGGCTGGGCTTCTAACTGATATGACAACAGGAAAATTCCTTTTCCCCCTATTTCCTTCCTCAGTTATTCAAGACTTTTTTCTACTTAGAAGAGACTCCAGGGTTACTTTTGCACAGAGCTTACCAACGTCTGCACTGAAGCTGCCTTTGTACCCCAGGAGAATAAGAAAAAAGAAATCTTGTCTGGGAGCTATACAACCCCATGCAAAACTAAATTCACAAGTAATAAATGACCTTCAGCTGTTTATTTTTGCTCATTTTTTTCAATAATGTCAGGGAACTGTAGCAGAGAATCTCCACAGGGCAAAAGAGCACGATTTTGTCATTTACAAAAGTCCTGGGCACTGCACACATAATTCGTAGTGACACTTTGCAGTGCAGAGCTGCCTAAGTGTGTCTATTAACAATGTTCTCTTCAGAAAGACTTCTGTAGCCTTAGAGCAAGATTGCCCTATACTTACTGAAGATGCCATGGAGCATCATTATATCAAAATGATTTCAGACCATGGACAGAGTCTTAAAATTCATTATTTCTGAGTGAGCTGTTAGATTTACTGCCCAGGAGGTTAGAAAGAGCTGTGTGCCCTTTTTGCATGTTTTGATTTCAATTCTGTGTTTTATTTTCGCACTTTTGAAATGCCAAATAAAAATTTTAAGCCCAGTTTATTTAAGCTAATGTATTTAAACAATTTTTACTTTTAACTTTAAACCTTGTTGCTTTTTTATGTTTATTTCTTTACTGCATTTCTGTCAGAGACCAAATCTCTAAATATTAGTTAAAAATGATTAACTAGATTTAGTAACTGTTGTACATATAGTTAATAGTGTTGTATTTATTTACGTGTATGCACACACATATATAAAGAACACACATAAAAAGAAAGGTTTTAGATAATTAACTCTTCCTAATAAAATTAAGAACAGAAAACTAGCTGGTGAATACATACTTTACTTGTTGTTCTATTAGAATAATACCCTCTGCAGCCCACTGTACAAGACTATCATAATACTCTTCCCTTACGCTTAAAAATATATTTATGTAGGATAACTCTAAAGCTCAAAACATGAATTGAGTCATGATTTGTTCTGTCATATACTCTGCTGCAGTTGTTTTGTATACAGCCACATGGCAGTCAGGAGTAAAGGACATTACAGATATGTTTTTTTCATATAACTGAATGGCTTTTCCTATTTCTGGTTTTCTCAGATCATGTCACTGTTGGTGTGATGCATGTGACCAGCCCAAGACTCCTGACTTCAGAATTATTGCCACTATTTTTGACAATTGCCTTTGACTTCATGTTCTACATTAGCTGATTTTAATTTGATGGCAGGTCTTACACAGTCTTCTTTTTCATTTGCATCTTTGCACCTTTTGCACTTCTGTGTGGCTACCTCTCAAAGCTACCCACAAAACTTGCTAAATTCATTCTCATCCTTTCTGCAGACCTGTAGGCCAGCCAACAATAGTTAGGGTTGTGCCACCCAGCCACCAAGCTGGGTGGAGTGGCCGACACTCCGGAGGGCTGTGCTGCCATCCAGAGGGGCCTGGACAGGCTGGAGAGTTGGGCAGAGAGGAACCTCATGAGGTTCAATAAGGACAAGTGCAGGGTCCTGCCCCTGGACAGGAATAACCCCAGGCATCAGTACAGATTAGGGGTCGATCTGCTGGAAAGCAGCTCCACGGAGAGGGACCTGGGAGTCCTGGTTGACACTAAGTTAACCATGAGTGAGCAGTGTGCCCTCGTGGCCAAGAAGGCCAATGGGATCCTGGCCTGCATCAGGAGGAGTGTTGCCAGCAGGTCAAGGGAGGTGATTCTGCCCCTCTACTCAGCTCTGGTGAGGCCGCACCTGGAGTACTGGGGGCAGTTCTGGGCTCCCCAGTATAGGAGGGACTTGGAGCTTCTGGAGAGGGTCCAGAGAAGGGCAACCAGGATGATTAAGGGAATGGAACATCTCTCGTATGAAGAGAGGCTGAGTGAGCTGGGCCTGTTTTCTCTGGAGAAGAGACGGCTCAGAGGGGATATGATTAATATGTATAAGTTCAGGAAGGGAGAATGCAGGGAGGAAGGGGACAGGCTGTTTTCACTGGTGGCCAGCGATAGGACGAGGGGTAATGGCCATAAGCTGGAGCACAGGAAGTTCCGTCTCCAGGTGAGGAGCAACTTCTTTACTGTTAGGGTGACAGAGCAGTGGAACAGGCTGCCCAGGGAGGTTGTGGAGTCTGCTACTCTGGAGGTCTTCAAAACCCGCCTGGATGCCACTCTGTGCCACATGCTGTAGGTGTGCCTGCTTGAGCAGGAAGGTTGGACTAGATGATCTGTAGAGGTCCCTTCCAACCTTAAATATTCTGTGAATCTGTGAATATGCAGAAAGCGTTTTTTTCTGAATAGAGAGAAGAGCTAATTTAATCATCTTAATGAGTATCTTCAGTTTGTAATGTTTTATAAGATATAAAAGCCAGTCCCCAACCTCTCTATCCAGGCTATTGCCAATATGTTCTGTGCCGTTGTACTTGACATATGCAGTATTGATAAATATTGGTTCTCTTTATTATTTTTCCAAGAATAATGAGTGATAATCACGTTACTGAGATGGAAGCACTGTGTCATTGCCATCTATCTTAAATGAAGATGGTGAGTGGTAGTTTTTAAAAACAAACGACATATATATGCATCTGAAAGAGGAGTTGGTTTGTGTTGGCCAAGTTTGAGACCTCAGGAAAGCAGCACTTTCAAATCTCCCTACAGCATTTCAGATGGCATTTTCAGTCTGACTGGGCCCTTGCAAGTGTCTGTGTGTGACATTACCGTGAAGACTAAACACAGAAGCATTCACCAGCTGCCTGATAGGGCAGGTGGGCTGTGATACTGACAAACCATGTCCTTTAAGCAACATCTGTTTGATGCTCTCTTTCTCAGGCTGCAGTAAAAGCTGTGGTGGCCTCGACTCGCCTTGGCAGTGCAAGTGGCCATGGTGTCCACGAGAGCAACAAGCCCAGCCGCAACCCATCTCCTGTCCACGACGGCCAGGCTGAAGAGAAACCCACTCAGGAAGCAGAAGCCGCTCCCGAAGAAATGTCTTAAGTCATTTGCTTCCTTGTTTCAGCTGAGATCTATCATTTCATACACCAGCTAATTTGTCATTCAGCAAGAGAGATTCATAAGCTTGGCCGCTGTGGTTCTGCTTTGGGGTACTGAATGCCCTGGCTGGTGACTCTACCTTCAATGCATGTGACTGCTTATGAAAATAGTAAACTGTTCCATAAGGCATGTCATGGAAACAGTGTTATTTGCAGTAATACCAACAGGTGAAAATAGGAGAATGAATAACTACCTACCATAATGCATATATTTCATAAACATCTATACAGTGTTTCTAGGTGGCATTTGAAACAAAGCCTATTTAATTTGGTTTTACGGAAGTAGATGTCTTCTGTATGTCATGACATCTCTTTGAACTGCTTCCTTCCAGAATCGTAGTCCTGCAGTAGATGAAATGGAAGGAAACACCAAGCCAGTGCTTTTAAAACTGATGTATTAAAAAAAAAATGCTTTTTATCTGTAATATTTAAAAATTGTTTGGAGATTTATATGCAAAAAACATTCCACTACTTCTGGGAAGAAATTGAAATGTTAGTTCCACTGAGCATGAAACTGTACATTCCTCAAGCTTGTGTTGAGAATGCCTTACTTGGACTTTACCAGTTTATATACAGTATTTTAACAACAACCAAAATTATTCAGATTTCTGCCATTTCATTCTCTAGTAAAATGTTAGCAAATAAAAAATATAGAGTAGAAGAGGATTAGAGTAGATGCAAATTTTTGAAATTCCATTGTATTTATTCATGACTTTCTAAACTGTGCAGCTAGAACATGTTTTTATGGAGCCTAGGGGAATAATCTGCAATTACACAGGTTTTAAATGCTTGAAGGAAGCTACTCCACAGCCTAATGATTTTGCTCTGGGGAAACACTCTTATAAAAGATCTGGGAGCCAGTAGTATAATCTCATTGCTCCCCAGGTAATTTAATCTCATGAATAACCAGTTTCCACTTATCACCATAATTAGTCCAGATTTTCCTAACAAAGGACAGATCCTGTAAAATGATCCACGAACCCAGGTCTTACATCCACCTAGAGCTGCTCTGATTTCAGTTACAAGCTGTGTGCATGGATCAGTTTACAAAATTAGGGTCAGGCTCTTGAGCCATCATGATTATTTGTCGAACATAATGGATAGGAATTGGAAAATTACCTGCGTCAGTATATATGACCATTTACATTGTTTGTTATTACTTTGATAGCACGTGAATTTCATAATGTATTAGTATGTTTCAGAAAGTAAGAACCTGATGTACAACAATGTCATTTGTGTTTGTTAAACTTTTTAATACTAATAGTTACCTAAACCCGTAATACACTCAACATTCCTCTTTTAATGGTTTTCATTTGCAATTATTTGGCCTTGCACAACTTGCCTTGCCAAAATATATCAGCTACTGAAAAAAGCCAGTCACTAATAAAATATTCAGTAGCTATACTTCCTGTTGAAATTAAGTAAAAGGTAATAGAATAGTATTCACATGTCAGGTTTGCTAAATAGTACAAAAAAATTTAAGATACTGCCTTCACTAGGTGAGAATGCATGTTTACGAATGTATTGTCCATTATATTTATATCCATTTCTTACAACTCTTTGAATATGTGAAAGAAATTAATGACTAAGGACAGTTGAAATTGAGAGTATGTGTATACATCCTTTTCCCAGGTGATGTGCTTTCAGGTAATATAATGATTTAAACTGAAAGGTCTTGTCAGCTCTGTAATGACTGCAACAGTAGCAAGATTTTGTCTTAATTTTAGAGTTCAGGCTAGGAACAGGCTGTTACAAAACTACTGCAGGTTTTCCATTGGGAAAAAAAGTATTATCAGAGTAATCACAGGGGAAAAGGTGATAGGTATACCCACACAAATAGTAATATATACCCATCAGATTCTTGAAATTGTTCTGTGCTAGATTATACCTTAGCGTATCATAAATACCAACCAATGCCGTGCAACTGGGGATCTCTGGGACATCATGAACTTTGAGGCAGGTTGGTCTTGTGCATAAAGGCTCCGGGCCTTACAATATCTTTGCTTAGTTTTTTTGTGTTCCGTATAAAACAATTAGGATGGCTTTGATGAATGGATTACTAGTATGTGACTCAGCAAAGTAGTATCATAGAATCATAAAGTCTTTAAGGTTGGAAGGGACCTTAAGAGATCATCTAGTCCAACCGCCCTGCACTTGCAGGGTCACCTAGAGCGTGTGGCACAGGATGGCATCCAAGCAAAGTTTGCAGATCTCCAGAGAAGGAGATTCCACAATTTGTCTTGGCAACCTGTTCCAGTGCTCTGTCACCCTCACTGTCAAGAAATTTTTCATGTCTTATGTACAGCACTCTTATGCAGAAGGGACCGCAGCATTAGGAAGTAAGCATGTTACTGAAGAAAGGAACTTCTCATGCATTTTTTCTCCCTGAAAAAAAGATCACATCCCATTGACATCCACTGTAATTCAGACCTGGGAGTGCAACCCTTGTGTCTTTTTGTGGCTAGAAAGTATGAATGCAGTACTGCCATTCAAAGCCATTGGAGGGTGCCGGTTCCAGGCTGGTATTTATTAAGTTGATAGGAAATTAGCAATGTTCTTTCCTGTTGAAATCCTAAGCTTTAAAATTTTTAAATATTAAACATATCAGCAAAGTTCTTCAAGTATAAAAGGGGGGACCTTGCCATCTTTTTGAAGTACTTGAACTTAGTAAAACTGTAGAGGCAAACCACAGCATTAACCAGTTAAAGGTCAGTATTTCAGAATTAGACTGGGGATCTGATGTCTAACAAACAGCCAACCTTCTGGAATGGCCTGCCTTTGCAGAACAACTTCTTTAAAAATATATGGAAATATATGTATACTTGGAGATGAGTGACAAAACCCATCCAGCATCCACCTTCCCAGGACCTTTGCCTGTGAAATTGAGCAATGTGCTGGGAAAAGCAGATGGTGCTCGAGTAGGATGCAGGTGACAACCAGAAAGTTCTGAGCAGAGTCTTGACTCCTGGCGTGAGCACAGGTTGTATATTTTCTTGGGGATAATTTTGATTCTGTGCAGCTATGTCTTGCCTTGTTACTAGTGAGATAACCAGTGTACACAATTTATGTCCGTGTTGTGTTCAAGTAATAAAAAAATGTCTTCTTGTAAAGGGGAAAGGAGCAATGAGGTTGCTGCCGTGGGCTGCACGGCTGGATGTAGAGTGCAGAGACAGCGGGACACTGTGAGCAAGCAGGTCCTGCACATACCAAAGGTATGATGAGACAACTTGGACTGTTCTTAAAGTTATGGTAAAAATAAAGAACAATAATTGCACAAAAGAATCTCCTTTCTCCCTTTTATAATTGTTTCAAGTAAAAAACAGTTACTTTTTTTCAAGTGAAAAACAGAACCACAACGGTAAAAGTACATCCTGCTTTTATACAAAGACTGCTTTTATACAAAGTTTCTCTGGTGCGCCCCTGTACAAAAATCTCTAGCTGCATTGGAATCCAAGAACAGCAGAGTGATAAGGAAGAAAAGAAGAAAAATAAGAATAAAATAATTAGTCTAGTTATGTCCAGAATTTAAATATGTTAATTCCAGGAAATGTGTGAACCTGTACTGACAAGACTGAAACCTCCATATCAGCAAAATTGTACTTCATGACTGGGAAGTAGAATTTATGGCCAGAAGATTCAAAAAAGATTGGTGGAAAGTGAGGACAACATAGAATGACTTTCTTGGAGCAGGAGGATATTATAGCATATGTGTATGTAATTAAAACAGCCAAAAAGAAAAAAGAAAAAGTGCATTGCTTGTTGTTCTGCCCTTCTGGAGTGGGAAAGAGAACAAAAACATGTGCCAGAACTGGGTCGTTGCTGGCAACTGATGTCATATACTGTGAGTGGAGACCTAGAAACAGAATAGAGGAACAAAATAAAAAAAGCAGCCCAGTTTTGAGCATATGTATAAAATTAACTTCGCAGACATACATAAAAGTACACACATGCACATATATAAATTTACCAAAAGAGAAAATATAGCAGAGTATAGTCCGTCAAAGCCACATTTGCAGTGAGAATTGCAGTAGCTTTTTAAGCTGTCTTCTCCAACTGCCAGCATCACTCACTTGGACCCGATACCATTGTGTTTTGAGCATAAGTAGCTAAACTTAAGAGAAATGCATCTGTCCATTTAAGTGTCTGGTTTCAGGAAAGATTAGAGAACATTTATGACCCCATGGGCACAGAGGGATCATCATAGAAGAGACATCCAATGCCTGGCAGGTCTTGGCTGCTGCCCTGGCACTCGCGGACTCTGCTGCTCTCTGAGCTGCTCGTGCCTTGGAAAGACATGGAGTTTCATAGGTCGCTTACATTACATGGCACAGCCGAAGCCACTCTTGGCGTGGGTCGTCACTGCTGTCTTCCTCCTTTCCTAACCTGATTTCAAGACCCATGCTGCTCTGGCACCTTCTGCGTCAAAAGCTCATACATAGAAGTTGTGGTTTTAGCCATTCTTAAAACGAGCATCAAGCTTCGGACCTAAGATCAGTGCCATATCATGTGGCCAGTGATCAACCTGGTATTTAATACCAGTTTGTCTGCTTAATGTCATTTTTGTTACAGCCTGGCCAATTAAAGCACTGGCAGAAGAAACAGCTAAGTCAATTGTGGCATTTGGCCCCTTTGCCCAAAGCTGTGAATAACAGTCTGCTTTTATAACACAAAACTGGTTGGAATCAATCACTTCAGCTACATACAGACATATAGGGAAAACCTGTCAGACAGAAAATACCGTACTTGTTATCGCTGTGCTGACTGCCCTAAGTGAAGATCACTTCAGACAGGATTCTGATAGCTCAACGGCAAGTCTTTGTGTGTGATTTCAGCTGGGAACAGCCCGTGGTCTCGCCTAGGGGCAATGTGCTGCAGTAGCCTCTGAGTCGTGTCCATCCATGGGTGCATCACCCCATTCACAGGGATCAGCCTCAGCACATCGGTGCCCAGCATCATCTGTCACATCCTGGAGAGCTACTTCTTCCAAAGCAAAGCTTGCTTCTTCAGTCCAGGAAAATTAAATTCTCAGTGCACAGAGTCAGCAGCTGCTCAGCGGCATCCTCACAGCAAGGAGCTTCGACACAAGCAATCCCTTTTGGAATAGCAGCATCAGTGCCCACATTAGCTGCACTGAGACGGTGCTATTTCAGTGACACCAACAAATCATCTCTCCCCCTTGGACAAGCCTGAGGAGCTCTAGATTTGCAAATATGACTCAATTACCATTTCAAACTATGCTTAACTAGCTAAAGTGGGTGTCTTAAGGGCAAAATGCAAAAAAAATCTGTGGCTGTTTGGGAGCCACCTGTCTGAGATACCACTGCTAAGATCCACTAAGGTACACTCGTGCTTCATGTTAACCAAGAAGACTGGGCCCAGTTTGGTCAGTTGACCTTGTCCCAGCAGTAGAGGCATCTGCACAGGAACGGCTTTGCAGAGCAAGGTATACATATCCACAGAAATACACCCAAAAAATCCCTAAATGTTAGCTGCACTACACTATGAGGCACTACAGCTACCATACCTGCAGGAATCCACGTATCTAGAGTGAAAATCTTCCCATGACACAATTGTGGTACACATTTCTGAGCTAACCATAAATCCCCAAGTACCAATTATATATGTATTTATATATATATATATATATATTCCATAACAAAAACATGGGAGGATTTTGCTAGGGATCGCAGCTAAGTGATTGCTCTTAACTGTGTTCAGACAAAGAGAAAGGAGGAAGAAATTCCTGTATGCCTTCCTTTGAAGTCTCAGGGTCTTTAATTTCTGCAGTTTTGCAAGTCAGCACCATCAGGCATATTTACAAAATCCTTACCTCCACCACCAGCCCCCGGCAGGTGGGAAGAGCTTGCCACCAACCCCACTGCTCACTTACATAAACCAGCACTGCTTTGGCTACACTGCTAACACCCGGCCTTGCTCTTAGCCCCTTGCTGTGGGGCAGGTCTTCTGGAGCAGTGCTCTGATCCCGGGGGCCTTAGAGTACTCTTGAACAGTGAGTGGGAATTTGCTGGCAAATGTTAGCAAAACAGAGCAAAATGGGACCATGTAGAACTTACGTAACTCTCCTCAGACAGTTTACTAAATCCTGCTGTGGTGGTGTCCTCCGGCACAGCAGCCCGGAGGAGCCTGTGCAGGGTCCAGAGAGGAACCTGCACCGTCCTCCTGCGCTCATAGCTTTCTCGGCGGGATCTCCATGTGCTGGCGATAAGGAAACAGCAATTACACTCTAATGAGGAGCAGCTACGCTCCTGGCTGCCAAGAACAACCCCCAGCCACCACTGGACGCTAGCATACACAACAGGGGCCAGTTCCTTATTTGCACCACGTGCTCGTGCTGAAACATGCTAACACTTCTGACTAAATGGCCAAAAATTAATGTAATGTTCTTGTAAGGGGACAATATGCATTTTTTTTTTCCAAGAAGCAGTGTTAGGACTGTGGCTTGTGATAAAATTAACTCTGGAATGTTTAGGAGCTCAAGGAGCAGAGAGGATGGGCAGGGGTGTGAATCCTAGTCCTTAAGATTAACAGTGTGCTCTTTAAGAGCAGTGAGGGAAGTCCAGCCTCTGGGGGTGGGCTGAGTATCAGCTAGTCTGGAGGCACCAGGTAGGTTTACCTGGCCTGACCCAAGCCAGCCTGCTCCAAGCCCCTGGTGAGGAGCTTGCCACCTAGAATAGCCTTTCCAAATTACAGCCCAAAGAAATGAGATATTTATAAGGACTTGGGTCTGATGGCCCTTGGCTTTGAGGCTGGGTAAGGACTGCGCTATAAGTAGGAAGCTTTGCACTTCCTTTGGTTCAAGAGCTGCACATGTCACACTGCTGGAGTGCATGGTGATGCTTCCAGACAAATGGTGCTATTGACTTGTAATACCAAGCATTTTATAAGTCTGTTATAGAAGCTTGTTGATCTCAGACCAATATGAGCTAAGCTCTTACTAATATGAATTAGTATGAATGACTGTCATGTATCTAATAGGCTTTCTCAAATTTCTCCTTTTACTACTTAATGTGCAAACTACCCTGTAATGTCAGCCCTTCTTGCTTATACTAGCGAAGACGTCAGTGACTACACAGAGGTTTGTGGATTGTTTGTTTAATGTACATGTACACACTTAGTTAAGACTAAGTTTGCTTGTGTAGTAACTCTTCTGATGCTATGTAAATGAACCAGAGAGAAAATGGAATAAGGAAGAACTGACAGTTTTGCTGTTTTTGTGTATTGTGTTTGGGGCCAATGTAATCGCTTGTGTGGAAATGTTGACAAGTGATGAGATCATGCTCTGATGGTAGGAAGCTTATTTTTAAAGAACAGATTGCATGACCAACCTGATGCTAAATAAACAAGTTAATCTAGAAACACTTATATCTGTTCTTTGCTGACAGCTAGTACTCAGCATAGAATAAATAATGCGAGTCAGCCTCCAGGTTGTGATGGAGAGCGTGATGATGCATTGCTCTCTGTTTCAGCATATTCTTGAATGAATTTCAAACGAATGTAATATTTTCACTTCTCCTTTTCCCTCAAAATGTTAACAAGTAGATAACAAGCTAAATCAGTGGCAGGACATAGAGGCATGGGGCTGGAAAGACCTTTGCAAAGTTGCCATGCACATCTCTGTGGCCTGGGATGTGCTTGTCTAACTTTCTTTTAAAGACCTCTGGCAGAGAAGAGGCTCCATTTCCCTGGACAATCTACTGTCGCACTTTGATATTCTCACAACTGAGAAATATTTCACAAAGTTGAGAGTCTTTTTTGGCTGTAGTTCACAACTGACCTATCATAGAGACTTTTTTTTCCCATCACTTCTAAAGAATACAGGCCAGAGGGCTGTGCTGATGTTCAAAGGGACCTGGACAGACTGGAGAGTTGGACAAAGAGGAACCTCTTGGGGTTCAACAAGGACAAGTGCAGGGTCCTGCACCTGGGGAGGAATAACCCCAGGCATCAGCACAGATTAGGGGTCGACCTGCTGGAAAGCAGCTCCACGGAGAGGGACCTGGGAGTCCTGGTTGACACCAAGTTACCCACGAGGCAGCAGTGCCCTCGTGGCCTCTACTCAGCTCTGGGGAGGCCGCACCTGGAGTATTGGGGGCAGTTCTGGGCTCCCCAGGACAAGAGGGACGTGGAGCTTCTTGAGAGGGTCCAACAGAGAACGACAAAGATGAGTAAGGGAATGGAGCATCTACCGTACCAGAAGAGACTAAGCAAGCTGGGCCTGTTTAGTCTGAAGAAGATTGAGATATACTTATCTGATCAATAAGTATAAATATCTGAAGGGTGAATGTAGGGAGGAAGGGGCCAAGCTCTTCTCAGTGGTGGCCAGTGACAGGACAAGGGGCAGTGGGTATAAGTTGAAACACAGGCAGTTCCATCTCCCTGTGAGGAAGAACTTCTTTCCTGTGAGGGTGACAGAGCCCTGGCACAGGCTGCCCAGGGAGGCTGTGGAGTCTCCCTCTCTGGAGGTCTTCCAAACCCGCCTGGATGCCGCCCTGTGCCACATGCTCTGGGTGTCCTTGCTGGAGCAGCGGGGTTGGACTAGATGATCTCTAGAGGTCCCTTCCAACCTCAACCATTCTGAGATTCTGTTCCTGTGCCCCAGGATGACATTTGGTGCCTTCAGTTCCTTTTGCTCCAGCTTAGCTGTGGGCTCTATCTGCCAGCTCCTTGGCACTGCCTTACACTAGTGCAACTCATTATTCTTGCCCACCTGCAGCTCCTTAGGTCTGCGAACTGCCTGATGCAGAATCCCTTTGTCACTGCTGCAGGCGTGGTTTTCAACATAAGAGTGCTGCAAGTAAAATGAGTAGAAAAAAACAGAATTCCCTCTGAAAGACTTTCTACATGGCAGTGCTCCAGAAAACCTGCCTGTTTGGGCTCTTCTGCTTAGTTTCTTTCAAGCTGAGGTAGTGGATATTTCTTATTACTAGTTTAGTAATAAGTTCTTTTTACTAAGCCTCCCATCTCCGTAGCAAAGTGAGAAAGAGCAGTGAAATGTGTGAGAATCATAAAGAAAGAATAGAGAAGAGGAGCTGGGTCTTATGAAATAAGGATGCTAGCTGAAGTTCAAGATTTTTGTGCTTTGGACTGAATCTGTAGTTGCAAGTAGAGCATCAAAGCAAAGTGTGGGACCTTGTGTTATAGTGTGAAACTACACTGGTTTTGTAGTGAGCTTAAGACAAAGGAAAGTGTATATAGCTTGCAACCTAGGAGACCTATCTGGAAGGACATTTCACAAGCCAGGCTAGCTAAAAGGTTGAACAAACCCATCGTGCCCCAATTTAAAAAAAAAAAGAAAAAAAAAGTGCTCCTTTGGTCATACCAGGTGCACTCTGCTCCTTTATGTATCTTAAGTTTCCTGTAATTCTCATGCCCTCTGAGTAGTTACATGACATTTTCTCTTCAGTGTTCTCCACATATGCAAATACTGATCTGTCTAAAATATTGATGGATGCAGATGGTTTGGGGAATGACTCAATATTTTTACCTGCATTGTGAATTCTCTGCACTTAAAAGATTGGTTTTATTTGACATTAAAAAAAAAAAAAAAAAAAGGTCTAAAAGGTATGAGACTTCTTTGCCCCTCTTCATTACTTGCCTCATGGTCACTCTTTACCTCTTCCAGGTAGGAGGCCTTTAAGAGGGCTCAGCGTATGGTGGGAGGGAGGCTTCCAGAGTTTCTCACCTTCTCTTTCCAAATGCTCAGTTTTCGCAATACGGGCAGAGGTGGACCAGAAAAGGAGTTTTGCCCTTTTCTGTTTTCATGTTTTGTACATGCCCATGTGGTGCATGTACAAAATTTGATCTTCATCTTCCTTGCTAGACTTGGATAACTTTCAGTGCTTTCATTGAATGGGATGTGTTCTTGAATTAGCTTGATGAGCTAAGACAGGGAGACTATGAATTACATACAGATGGTTCTGCCAGGGAAGGTCCAATCCTGCATGTGAAAAGAGATGCTGTCTGGCCAGGCATAATTATGATTCTTCCTGCTGCAGTGGACAGACGTGCTCTGATTTCTTTCCTTCTCTTTCAAAATAGTGAGGAAGTCAAAATCTCACCAAGCATGTAGCAGAATGGGGGAGGATTGATTCCAAATAGTAAAGTGCTTCTGCTTGTATCACTTAGAGGCGCTCCCTTGGGCACTGCCCTGTGTCACCAATAAACCTGAGGGCTTAAACGAGTGACAGCAATGTGTCAGCCTTAATACGATGTGGTTGGAACCTGAATTAAAGGCAGCACTTGGGTTCTGCTGCCTTAGCCAAGGCAGGGAGCCTTACTTAGGACAGTGACTTCCTGACTTGCACCCTGGGGTTACAGTCTGCCCAGCAGCCATGCCTGCACAAGCAGGCAGCTGAGCAGGCTTAGGTGCAGGGCTCAGGAAATGTTTGGTGCCCAGGGCATGGCCGAACCGGTTCCCAGCCAGCCACAAAGGGCAGGAGCACCTTAAGTTCCTACGAGGGCTTCAGGCAGCAACTCATCCGCTGGTTGCTGTGTGTCCACTGCCTGCTTCACAGAGACCTTTTGAAGTTTCATCAAGTAGCTACATTGCCTCAGCTCACTGAAGGAGGAAAATCTGAGGACAATTAACTATAAAAAAGGGACTCTGTTGCAATGTGGGACACCTTAATCCACTGGCCATGCAAGGGCAGGTGAAGCCTCTTGCAGTGTAGGACATGCAGAGAGCCCTGGGGCTGTGTGCTGCTGCCAGCGGCAATTTCGCTGGCCAGCAACATATCCAGGGAAGGTTTGGACTGCAACATCCATCCCATGGAGGATAGGAAATGGGCAGGATGCAGCACTAAGCTTCACTTGCTGTCTAGAGGTCCAGCAATCCATGTTTTTTTTCCTACAGGATGTTTCATCTCTAGCACAGGTTTTATTATTAATCTCTCACACAGTCAGTCTTCTCTTGGAAGAAGTCATCCATCTTCTGTCATCAGGGGATGTGTTTAAATTAGGATTAAATGCTATAGTTTTCTCAATAACCCCGTTTAACATCCTCAATCCTTAATCTGATGCAACCTCTGACCCTCTTCCTACCCTTCTTTCCAGGGGCAGATGTGACAGGTTCCCTAAGAAAAGGTGCAGTTACTGGGATGGTGCAGTTGCTTTGCTGAGCAGCAGCAGAAGGCTGGAACGCCCTGTTCGGAAGCCAAATTTCACAAAAAAAACTTCTGTTTTTGTGCTGGCATAGTTGCAGGAACAAAGAAAAGATCCAGGCATATGATAGGCATTTTCTTTCTTTGTGGTTCCAATTAAATTACCAAAATAGATGCTGTAGAGTGCTTCAGCACCCTAATGCACATCTATACACCTTTAGCAAAGTTCTACATCACGTTTAGGCTGAATTTAATACTAGTGATTAAGAAACCATTTCTTAAACGTTGCAGGATAAGATGCATTGAAGATGGCCACGTAGCTGAAGATGAGATACATTTTAGGGATTTATGTCTGATTATGTAACTGAACACCACATCTGCCAGTGCAAGCATTGAAAACAGTGTCATGAATTTGATGGAGTTCATATTTTAATTTATTCTGCAATCTCATTCAAAATATAAATACAATTTTATTCAGCACTAAACATAATCAGTTAAAACCAGTGCTAAGACAGATTAACAATGCATAGGCACAACTTGACTGGTTTCAGGAGAACTACGGTTACTTGGTCAGCAAGATTGAATCCCTTGCGGATCGAATCACTAGCTTAAAGCAATTCAGTGTCTCCAATCTTGGTTATTGCTGATTACTGGAAGAATTATGCACCCTCATAACATCTCAGTCACTTACAGGCATTACAAACCTATCAAGCTTTGGGTCAAAGCTGTGCTGTTCCCAGAGTATCCACCTAAAGCACCGCTCCACCTCCTGGCAGGCTGCGGTAGAGTACACAGAGGTTGCACTTGCAAAACAAGCAGCACAGCTAAAGGCATGACTCTATTATGATGGAAAAAAAGGAAGCTAAACACAAAAATAGTCTCATCTTTAGGTGCCCTTCCCACCCACAAAAAGGAGCTAGATAAAGTGCTGAGGAACAGACTATAATAAAAGATATATTTTTAAAAAATATATTGATGATATAAAAATAAATCTGATGTGTCTATAATGCATGGCCTCTCTCTAGCAAAAACTCGTCTCAGTTACTTTGGGGTGCCAAATTTGGCATGTCCTCATTCAGAAGCTACTTTCAGATGACATTATCCCATACTCTAATGTATCTGAAACATTCTTAAAGTACCGCAGTCACCTTGTGTCCCCCCAACAATGCAAAGTATTGATAAACCTCACAAACTAATGCATACTTGTGAGTATGACAGAAATCTAAGCCAAGTCATTTATTTTGCTCCCCACTACCTCTTAACAACCAAAACAGCAGGCTCCTGCACTTTCTCCCCTCAACTCATTTGCTGTTTGTGCAGCTTTGGCTCACAGACTGAGCACTACCTCAGGATACTCTGATTTGCAAGAGAGAAATTTTTGGTAGAAATTGGAATGAAAGCAATAGCTCTGTTTAAAGGTCTCACATTCTTCACAATCCCTAGCTATATAAAAAGAAAATAAGATTTGATTTCAGACAACTATAACACATATTATGAACTGAACACATTCATTACAATTCTGTGAGCACCAGCTGTGCTTTGCTTCAGCAGCATAACTGACATATTTGGTCACTCATCATTATACTCATAATACAGAACATTTATTTTTAAGACTGTAAAAAGTCACAAAATAAATCCTTAAAACTTGTTAGTACCTTGTCCTAACGTTAGATTTACCTAATGTGAAAATGAAGAATTGCACAGTATTTTCTGTTTGTTAAAAATAAAATAATTTAAAATAACCCCTAATATCTTCCTCCTATAGTATCTACTGAGTTGTTGATTTGAATCGTCAAACTCATTGGCAGGGGTAATAGTGCATGTCTGTTAAAACATACAATAATCAGTGCTTAAGGAACAAAATACTGCAGCGCAACAAAAGAGACCTACTTTGCTTCTGGAAACTTTGCCCTTATTCATAATTTTTTTCCATCCTGAGGCCTATTACTGAGATCATTTCTGTTGATTAAAAGGGAAATCTGCATGAGAAGAAATACTTTTAAACATCATGCATAAACTATGCTGCAAATTATCTTCCACATAAACACATGTTTTTTTCTTCTTGGCCATTTCTCTGAACACTAAATAAGACTAGATTCTTTGAGAAGTTAGATCAGGGCCTTATTTTGGCCATTTGGAACAGAGACTTCTTTAAATTTTTCTGCAGTGCTTATCATGGTACAAACATCCTCCTATAAAAGTGTCTTGTGATCCTTTTGACCTGCATCTCTGGCACAGATTTGTCTCTGCACAAGATTTAAACTATGTTCTTTACAGAGTGTGTGTATATATAAATATACATACATGTATGCATACTGCATAACATACAAACTGCAGAACATACAAACCCAATAAGGAGATAACATTTTCCTGCCTGGAAAGACACAGCCATGAGCTTGATGCCACTGTCTTTAAGCGTCTTAAGCAAAATGCTTTGCTGCTTTATTAGGTGAGGCAAATTGGAAAATCTCTTGATAATATATCATGTTCCACACCTGTTCCCCCTACCTCTCTGCTCAAACAATAAGAATGAAAAGCTTAGCTACTGTAGCCAGCATTTAAAGAGCCAATATTGCAGAGAAAACAATGTTGTCTGACCTTGCCTAAAGAATGTCAGCTCACAAAAGCTGGGCAGATGGACAGGGGAAGGGAGGATATGGGGCTCTCTGAAACAGGTGTAGGAAGAGGGCAAAGCTGCAATTTAAAATAATGTAATCTGAAACTTCCATCTGGTTCGTTCCTACCAATCCTTGGACTGTGGAATAAATATTAGGAACCCTAAGATCCAAATAGCTCCTTAGGCTTTCTGGACATATGAGTAAACCACCAAAGTTAACACAGCTTGCTGTAGTCCTTTAGGAATTAATGTATACAACATGTCTCTGAAACACTAGGGCTCCAAGGTATTTTCACTAACCTATTACGCAGCTAAGCTTATTTCTATTAGCACTGGTGAAACAGAGGGATAATTACACCCTTATCTTGAGCAAATGATGGGTACAAATACTAAGCTCTCCAGACAAGGCTTTAAAGAAAATTAAGCTTCCTAGTAGTACAGATAGAAAGCTTTTGAATCCTTCTGCAACTCACCTATCAGCACCATTAGGTGGCTAATTATCCCGAAAAGTTTGACCCTTCAGCTTCCAAGGGCTCTGAGCAGCTCTGCAGCTTGAGTTTTCAGCCTTCAGTTGTTCATGTTTTAAAAATATTTATTTTGCCTACTGCAAGTTCCAGTTTAGATACATCCTTATACGCTGCACCAGCACATACACACTTGAGGTAGCTGAGCCTGGCTACATGCTCAGGTATGCTGCAAGTCTCTCATGTTTGGGCTACAGTGCTGCCTGTGGAGAAGCAGGCTAGTGAACCTGGCTGCAGTTTCTATAGTGTCATTTTGTCTGTTTGTTTTTTGCTGTTAAGAAAGGCAAAATTTAAATTGGAAAAAACAATTGCATGCAAATTTAAATAAGAATTACTTGGAGGTGTGGAGTACCACAGAGGAACCTCAGAAGGTTTGCTATTTTGATGATTAAGCATGTGATTAAAAGCCCACTGAATATGATGGAAAGACACCTGAGGACTTCCATGAGCTTTTGTTATCTATAAACTGAGACTATTGCATATAACAGCTAATTAAGTTACAGTTGCAACACTGAGGAAATGCCAATAATGAATACTTACTTTTGCTAATATAAGCAAATAGTTTTCCAATGAATAGTATCATTCAAAAATTCAGCTATAACATTTATATGGTAAATCAAAGAAGATTGCTAAATCCAAGATTACAAAGTAATAAACTACATTGTATAGAAATTGCAGATGTGCCTGCACACACCATATAGTTCAAATATCCAAAGTAAAGATAAAAAAAAACAGGTTATAAAATTAAATATTCAATGAGATGCAGCCTGCATGTGAATCTGCACCCACTGAAAATCCTGAGCAGTCTCCAATCTACATTCTGTTGGTTAGAGCTGTCTTCATGTTGCATTTACCAAGCCAAGGTCTGCATCTTGCATTATCCTTCTAGGAATAAAGAGGGCTTATATATAAGACCATAAGAGACTATATTTACAGCGCTGAGCATTATCCTTCTAGGAATAAAGAGGGCTTATATATAAGACCATAAGAGACTATATTTACAGTGCTGAACAGGAAAAGAACATCTTGTGCTGTGAGTTAGGAATGTGTGCAGTCCTGCTAAGTATCAAATCAAAAAGCACTTGGTAAAGTTGTTTGGATCTCCCTACATAAAGCTTCAGGTATCATTCAGGAACAATGTTACTTGTCTCTGAACTGAATAACTAACCTATACTAAGCTGTACAATGCAATTTGATTGCAAGAAACGCATGGACTTCTAGGTCAGTTTGACTATGTTTTCAGAGCCTTTTTGAGGTCAGAGTAGAAATTGGTCAGCGTACTAGCCATGGCAGTGTCAACTGCAGATTGCGGTAGCATCCCTCGCAGGTCAGTCTGAATATAACCTGTCAGAAGACTATGGCTAGGGTGGTCCTTAAGGGGGACGCAGAACCATCCACAAGGGTGATTGAATCCACGGACAAAATTAGGTCTCAATTCTCCGTAGTCTAAGCTTATACCTATTGAAGAAAACAAAGTCATGAATTCATTTAAGACGTACAAAAATAAAGGCATAGTAAATTTTAAAAGCACAAATTTCTGCTTGGGTAGTAGTAGTGATAAATGCATACATTTGGGGTACTTTCATGCAAGCAGGTTGTCTATTCTTCATTCAAACTTCTTCACAAATGAAAAGATCTGTAAAATGTCCAAATAACTCTGAAATACTTCTTGCAAAACATCTTCTGCAGTTTTTGACTGCTTAGGTATAGAAGAAATACAGAACTAAACCTAAACCTAGAAGAGAACCTAAACAGAACTAAACCTGGAGTAGTATCTTACATGTAGCTGTTGCAAAGTAAGAAACAGGCAGAGCTGAGTGGTGCCTTACCACATGATAGAAGCCCATCTTCATAACATGTAGTGTAAGAGAAATCAACAAACTCTCTTGGAGCTACGATGTTCCAGAGTTGGCCTGCAGTGGTGTAGCGCATCACACAGCAGTTCTTGTCAAGTGACACAATAAATAGGACAGGAAAACAAAAACAACTAAGTACAATGAAAGGGAAATTTATGCATAGATTTTTCCACAAAGGTGAGCACCTCCACTGGTAGCCTCTCTCCTTAACTACACAATGTCCAGACATCTCCAGTGAGGTCTGAATGAAGCTGTCATTTTCAAGTCTAAATGCTGGACACTTGTAAAGATTTGCAGTTTGCAACTGAGAGCTGCAGGTGCTGAGAATATCTGGTACCTTTCAACCACACCAACTAGAACTGTAAGTCAAGGACTGGGAGCTAAAAGCCATCTAGCTTTTATGTGTCTTATCTACTACTCAGCAAGTCTGAAAGGACAAGAAATAAACCCCAGAAGGCCACTCTCAGTACTAGCAGCCTCTGTAAAGTGGAAAAAAAAAGACGATGCAAACAAGTCTCCAGAAAGGTATTCTTAACAGACATTTAGTGTTTCTGCAAATATTACTAAATCACAATAAAACGGTTTCTGTAAATAATTAGCAAAAAAAAAAATTTCAATATAATTCTTCCTTAATAGATAAAGTAAAGATGATTAACCACTTTTGAAGCCAGAAGCCCAGAGGTTTTTGAAATTCTGTACTGAATGTCCCCAGCAACCAAACTACAGCTACCAGCTGGCACATAATCAGCTTCAAACCTGCCTTTCTTTTACAATTTCTGTCCCTCAGTATGAACTATTCTGGCTCCCAGAAAAAAGAAAAAACAATAAAAAAAATATTGCATAGTGAAGTCAGCTTTTTGGAAATAGGGAGATGCTGCACTTTCTTAGTTTCTCTAAAGGTATGTATGGGAATTTTTAGGAATTTAAAGTGGAAAACTTACAATTATTTACATTGAGAAACAGAAGAAACTAAGCTATATGAAAAATCTTTGAGACATAAAATACTTCTCTATAGTTCTCCTCCTATGTAATTTTTTTCAGGGGGTGGCAGAGCTCCCAGATCTGAGATAATCATAACCTTCCTAGTTTTCTCTGCATTTTCCTTATTTTCTTTAGTATCCTCATTTCTAGCATTGATGGAAAACTGTCCCTGAAGTTTCAGAACAGAACTGTGAAGACAACCCTCTCCCATCTGAGCTCACCCACAACACGTATACAGAAAAATTACAAGCACCTACAGAAAATATCTAACTCCTTTGGCTAATATTTCTATTTGTCGATACAATTACTTTATTGCACTTTTGAATTTACACAGGCATCTATATAGCTTTTCTTTATGAATCTAAACAAATTTTTACCTCTCCAAATGTTTCTACAATGTCCATTGAAGTCATCAAGCTGTCCCAGTCTAGCCTGTAAGGTCCAGGTCGTATATGATCCACTATTCTGTTGGTAACATCTTCCACCACTCCTTGAGCTTTGTAGCTAGAGAAACATATGTTTACATTTAACAGTGAGAAACTCTTTCCAAGTATCCTATTAGTTTGCAACAGCATGTTTACTGTAATAACTTGCTATTTGAGGTTGTAATCAGCATACAACTCTGTCAGAGAGGTAGTATGGAGGAAGACCTCCTTTTCACTGTAGTCAATGTTATTCAGAGGCACTTTCTGTTTAAGCTGCAACTGTATTTCTCAAACTGCAAATTCTTTCCTTACATGATAATTATCACTTATTCCTAAAACAACTTATTATTTTACTGCTCTCCCACAGGAAGCAAGTGAGTCTTCCAGGGAAAACTGAAAGTAAAAGCAAATAGAAGAGTACAAGGATATGTGGGAAAAACAATTTTCATAAAGTAGCAACAACAGTAGCAAAGTCAAAACAATAAGAAACTAAGTTATGCTTTGGCGTCCTATTAGAATACCATAGAAGATAATATGGTGTAAGTTATTAGACATTTGACTTTTTGCTTATTTGAGTTGCCTGACCCTCAAGGGAAAAGCAGATCAGTTATTATTTTCAAGACATTTCTTACTCATTAAGGTATTGTTATTAATATATATAGCTAATATATAATGAAATTATTCAGAAAATATATTATTTACTCACATAGTTCCCCCACATTCACTCATAGTTACATGGCTGGAGAACAAGCAGTGAAGCCAACCCCACTCAGATGGTTAGAGGTGGAGGACAACACTGACACGCCGGTGGCTTTTAGGCAGGTGTTTGTAAATCTCTCAAAAGATCCTCTGTTTGATCAGGTCTATATGCAATGCTGCAGTTTGCATTTGTAAATAGAAGCCACTGCCCTCTTGCCTATGTTTTAATATACAGCACCTGTTGTTGATGCCAATGTGCACTGACGGACTCAGCAGACTTGGCATTTGGGCTAACAGTTCTTGTAGACTCAACAGTCCTTGTAGTCCCCACAGTACATCAGTCCATGAGATACTTTCAAACACTACCATTTCACAATATTTGTTCCTTCCTAATACTTTCTACTTTCTATTTCACTGTCTAAACGTACAGTTACCTATAGAACTCAATCACAGAAAGTCACAAAGGAAAGGCTTTTATTGGCACACATCTTTCCCACAATTATGGGCTTGATGTCTCAATCTATTGTTGCATGGGTTGTGACAGCACAAGCATTATAAAAGGTGAGCTGTCACTTAGTAATGTCTGGGAGCTACTGAATCTGGGCTTAATTCTGTGGTTTACAGATCATCTCTCAGTTGCCAAATTAAGCTAATGGTAGTTTTGTAGTATATTTACCATTATTTATTCCAGGCAATACGTAAGAATAAAGCACCACAACATAAAACTAAAAATAAGTGGTAAATGCCATTGCACAGCAAAGAGATATATTAGATGATCCAGATAGGTTCTTCACATGCTAAATTCTCTAGAGCACATTTGTGGAACCACAAAATAATTTTCAACAAAATATGTGTCTCGTCTGAAGATAAACTTACAGGTATCCACTGAATTCTTCTGATGGCTTACGCCACACAGTAGCATCTTTCTGAAAAAAAAAAGTAGAAATTAGGGTAGTAACTGTTATTCACAGACAATCCTAAAATGTCCAGAAAGCTGCATTCTTTCTGAAGAACAAAATAATCTCAAAGTGCTTGCTAACGAAATACCTGGGAACTTTGGTATGTTTTTCTTAAGAACAGAAGCATACGTTTTGGGTATCTTCTGATAATCTTCCATTCTTCCAAAAAAAACACTCAAGTGACTTTCTCAGTATCAATTTCTAGAAGCCGCTCCAAAAATAGCACGTGGCAGAATAAGTCAGTTTACCAGGAGTGCAAAGAGCATAATGGCAACACATTATTACACAAAGCCTTCCTTCCAAACAAAAGATGACTGGAAAGTCTCTCTCTGGACACTGCTCAGACAGGAAGACTGTATTTGCATTTCGGTAACATGTGTGGCAGGAAGTGCTGACAGCAGCTGACAAGGAAGCTTAAGTTATCCCTTTCTCCTAGATGCCTGACTAGAAACAGCCTGCAAGCAGCTGTCAATTCATTTGCCACAACAAATAAAGAGATGGTATGGTGCCCTTTTTTTTTCTGACTGTAAAAAGAAACCTTGTTACAAATTTTCTGTATTTAAGTATTACAGAACTGTCCTTCTTTATTTGGATTTTTTTATTTGGAAGGGATTTTCTTTATTTAGTATTATGAATATATAACACTAATGATGAAATACCCCAAAGAACAGTACTGTAAGAACCACATCCTGTGGTTAAGCATATTGAGGAGGAAAGGTAATTTTCCCCTCAGTAAAATCTCCCAAAAGAGTCTTCCTTGCAGATTGTTAAAGCTTTGAATTGCTTTTACATGGCAGAATACCAAAATAAAATGAGCAAGGGAGGAAATGAGGTAGGGAAGAAGTTCAATTGGGAATTTTACAGGAGTAAAATATGGGAATTAAGATGATCTGAACACTAAGATTCAAGTAACTTTCTAAAGGAAAATAATGCTATGATATATCATTTAGGAAAGCAATGTTGAAGTAGATGTTTTGTAAGAGTAAGAGACTTGGGGGCCCTGTTCCTTCCCTTCATGAAATGAAATTTGTTACTGCTGGTAATAATTGAGTTACATTTAGAAAAATTTGACCTGGCCTAACCAACATGCACTCACAGATACAAAGTGTAGGATAATTTGTCTGTAGCAAGCCTCCTTTAGGTCTCTGTGGTATGGCTAAAGAGATCTTTACTAGAAGTATCTGGAGTTATCACTTTACATCGGGCTGTAATTAGTTAGGAGTCTACCTCCCTGTGGTTTAAACCCCAAAAGGAGGATGTCAAGACTTTGAGATAAGGCTTGTGTGGGCATCAGAACCCTCCCATCCAGACCTTGAGAGAAAAAGCCTTTTCTTGACCTGGAACAGTGATAACTGTTGAGGTCTGGTCTATCTTCTGCTTGTCAGGACCTTGAAAGACAAGGATAGGCCCCAAAGAAGAACAAGAAGACCTCAGATACAAGTATAAACATTAGTCTGAAACGCTGCATGAAGGGTGAGAAATTCAGATTGCAAGGCAATGCCCAGGGATTTCTTCTGTGTCCCTCTTTGGAGGCCTCCAGCTTGAGCTGTAATTACTGCACATGTTTCATTATAATTCATTTTTCTATGACCTGACTTCAAATTTCTGCTCAGGGGGAACCCTGGGTCAGACCCTGTCATGGTGACTGGCAAGAGTTAAGCTTCTATAACAAAAGACTCCAAAAACATTGTAACAAAATGACAAAGATACAAATTTACTATACTAGCAAATACTTTAGAGGCACCTGGGAAGTTTATTTGGATGGAGATGGACTCACATGGAGAGTGATGGAGAAGGACTCACAACTGTCAAGCCTTTAAGAGGAAGAATATGACAAGCTGCTTGGGTAAGAGCTTGGGACAGCAGTGGCTGTCTTCCGCTCTTATGGAAAGAAATGGGGCCACTGTTATGCTGGTGAAGCTTGAAGGTAACAGACACATATGAAGAGATGTGAAACAAAGAGCCAAGAGTGATCTCACACTTTAAGAACAGGAGCAGGGTGAGTTCAGGTATTACAACAAATGAGATTCAAGAGGTTGTCAGACTCTATTTGACGGCTATGACTGGACAGCTAGAAAGTACGGGACTGCATCTCGGAACACTGCTAGCACTAACAGCATTTCAGATTTTGCTTCATAGAAAGCCCACAACCTTATATAGGTAAGATTCCCCTGAGGGCCACTTCCCTGAAAACTTGCATGAAGAATGGCTGAGTACATCTGCAAAGAGAGGAAAACTCGCTGTTATCTAGGACAGCTATACTGTCCCAGAGCGATTGCTTCACACAGCCTCACACCTGAGAGTCCCGTAAGCATGTGCCAAATGTTTGACATTAGTGGTACTCAGCACAGCATTTCCCCCTCGGGGATCTCCCACTTCCTTGACACACTGTGCCACGCGCTGGAAACTCCGGCCAGGTCACTTACAGTTCTCTTGGCAACTCGCCATTCGCTGTCTCCAATGTTGTGGTACTGAATCAGAGTGTTCTGCAGCTTGGTAGCCAGGGGTGCTGAATCTGGCAGGAGATCCATCTTCTCTTCCCCTCTCCTGTGTTAATAACAGATAGATAAATAAATAGATAAATGTGAAATCAGGGCAGGCGTTAAATAACAGCATTACTCATTTAAACTCGCTGACATCCACTCCCTCTGAGCAGCGAGGGCGGAAATTACCAGGCTTGCAACAGACTCCCTCAGATCGACGCTCGCAGACGGACACTCGGGGCGGGGTGAAGGCGGGAGGAGGGGAGGAGACGCGGACCAACGTCCCAACGGCCGCCCCAACGTCCGCCCCAACGGCCGCCCCAACGGCCGCGGAGGCCCCCGGCCCCGCTCTCACCTGCGGCCGCTACCCTCGCCCGCCGGCAGAGCTATCCCAATGGCCGATGCCGGCAGCCAATGAGAACGCAGCCGGTGTCCCGCACAGCCAATGAGAACGCAGCCGTCTTCCGGTGCAGCCAATGAGGGCGCAGCCGCTCTCCGGGGTTGCGACGCAGCCGCCTCGGCAAAGAGCGGGATCCGGCAGGGGGCGCCGCGGGGGGCGTGGCCCGGGTGCTAATCCCCGCCCACGCCCGTGGCCTCCTCGTATCACGCGAACTTTCGACCGCTCCACGGCGTGTCGTCAGTGGCGGCAGGCAGGAGGCTGCCTTCCGATTCGCTGCCGCGAGGCAGCCGCGCCGCATGATTGGGTGCAGGCAGTGGAGTGATGGGCGAGGGGCGGGCTAGAGAGCGTGGCGGTTGGCGCGCGGGCGGGGGCGCACGGCGCAGCCCCGGGGGGGGGCGGGGACGTGACGGTTGCCGCGCGGGCGGGGCGCGCACGGCGCAGCCCCGGGGGGGGGCGGGGACGTGACGGTTGCCGCGCGGGCGGGGCGCGCACGGCGCAGCCCCGGGGGCGGGGGGCTGCCCCGAAAGCGCCGCGTGCCCAGGCAGCGCCGTGGGGCCTCGTTTATATATTTATTTCGTTTATATTATATATTTATATGATATTAATTACAGTTTGCTCGGTGTTGTGGATGCGGTGACCTTGGTGCCTTTCAGTTGAGGCGCCGTGCAGGCTCCCCGCGCCCGCCTTGGCTGCTCGTATGGAGCCTGTCCGGGTTCACATAACTGGCGTTCACCATCCTAGTTCAGCTGTGGGGGGCACGGGTGGTGGAGGCCACGAGCACCCCCCAGGCCAGCCCTGACCTTGTCAGGGCAGCAGAAACGGTAAAGGAAACAGCACATGCGGAGGGTGTCGGGCCGGTCTGCGCAGCCGGCTGCAGCGAGGAGAGCAGTGGCGCGCCATTGGTGGTGGCAAGCAGCGCTTCCCTGTGGCTCAGCGCGCTTCAGGGAAAGGCTGGGCTTCTCTTTCTCCCTGTGGAGCAGCTCTGGGGCTCCGCGTTCCTGCACCACGAGGCAGGGCGCGAGGGCAGCCCGGGACTGGAGCGAGCTGCAGGGCGACGGTGACCGGCTGCCGCCCGTCTCCTCGCTGCCTCCCCTCTTCCGCACACCGCAGCCAGCAGAGAGAGGCGCCTTTGGTGACACCCTAAGAGGAAGCCCTAGCTCCTCTTGGGAGGCAGTGAGAAAAGAGACAAGAAGAACAGTAAAAAAGCACCTCTGAAAAGTATGGGTACACCAGCTTCTGTGGTTTTAAGTTGTTTATCTTCACACAGAATCACAGGATGGCGGAGGTTGGAAGGGACCTCTAGAGATCATCTAGTCCAACCCCTGCTCCAGTAGGGACACCCGGAGCATGGGGCACAGGGGGGCATCCAGGTGGGTTTGGAAGATCTCCGGAGAATCTTGTGTTAGCTTCCAAAATGAATGGTTTAGTTGTCTGTAGTGTTCTCAGTACACTGCACTACACTAGGCTTTTGGAGCTTTCGCTCTGCCCTGTTCTTCAGCTCCCCTTGGTGGGGTGCTCTCTGTGGGGCACGGCCTGTGTAAACCAGGCCTAGCAGGAGCTCTCACACAGAGCCGGCGCAGTTCACATCCCTCAGGCACTTTTCCTTAGATGAACATTGGAGAAAGGCCCTGCTAGGATAGCTGAGGTGAAATGTCTTAAGTGCAATCCTTGAAATCTTAACTATGGAATCAAAATAGTCGTTCTGAGAGTAAATTTTAGGGACATTACTAATGGCCTTACATTCCTCTTGGCAAGAGTTTGTTGGTCGGAGAGCTCGGGCCATTCTCCTTGTCCTGCAGCATTCTTTAAAGCCCTGTGTCTTCTGGTCTTTGGAAATTGCTTTCTTTCCTTAATAGTGTCTCTTACTTAGTTTAACCTTCCAAGGTAAGTTTGCTTTTTTGTTTGTTTGCCTCATTGGTTTCGGGTGTGGGAAGGAGGGGCTTTTTTTGAAGTGCCTTTTTTGAGGCAATCCACATGACAGCACCTTCATACATATCTCCTGGGCTATGTTTCTTCCTTAGGTACAGCAGGAGCAACAGGGGCTGGTGGACGAGCTTGTGTGGGGAAAACCCTGATGCTGCCCTTTTCCCGCTGAGGAAATGCGTGCACTGGCACAGCTGGCGCTTCCCAACCACTGTCAGGTCACGGCAGACCTCGTCGCCCCAAAGGAACGTGGTGTTGCTGGAGAAGGATATCCATTCCTGTTGCCCAACATCTTGCACAGGGAAATGCTGATGACCTAAATGGTGAGCAGGGTCTCTGGACACTGTTAAAAGCCCCAAATACCTCTGCCATTCAGCATAAAAATAACTGCAACCAATCTTATTTTATATGTATTATTTAATGTACATATATAAATAAACACATATTTAGTATGTTGGGTAAGCTATGTATTATATATACATATATGTGTATATATATGCATGTACATTTGTATAAACATATATAGAGTGTATATACATGCATATAGATTATATTGTGTGTGTGTTTATATATAGTAGTTTACCAAACATAATCTACATATATACATATATGTGTATATATACACACATACATACAGAAGTTTACCAAGTATAGTGGACCAAATTCTGCTATTCTATTATGTTTTAGCAAAGGGTATTGAATTATTTGCATTTAGTAGAGTTTTTTGTTTACTTGTATTCCTACATGACATGTAGAAGGTGCGGAAGTATTTTGCAGGATCAAAGTCAAGTATCAGAAAATAGAGAAAAAACAGCCTGTTATTGCTTCATTAAGCTGATCCTGACCAGTGTATTTGTCTTGAGTTTGAATGCCACCAGCCAAATGGTGCTCTTTTACAGACAGAAAACCAACCAACTGCCCTTAATAATGCACTTAATAGGCTCAAACTTACATACAGTTTGAACCTGTGTACACAGAGAATTCAAAGAAAGGTATTCAGTAAGTCTTTTCCAGTTAAACAGGCACTGTAAAACACACTTCATCCTCCTGGGGCTGGCTGCTCCTTGCTTGTTGAGTTAGAGTGAAATGCACAGTGATATAGTATATACCTTTAGAATTAAAATTAGTAGAACTCCTTAAAATTAAAATCCAAGATATGGCAATAGAAAAGCAGTGGAAAAGCCAATTCAAGGTCAGGCTTTATATAATCTGATAAATAGCTATGGGTAACTCAAAGGCTCCTTTCTTCCCCGTCTAATGCACTGTTTCTTTGAGAGCTTTCTGTTTCATACTGTAAGACTTCCACAATCAGAGGTGTCAGAGAATTCACATGCAGCAGCCTGGAAATCCGGTGGTGCCTGACATGCTTTATGCTTTTGGGCCTCTACATTCCTTCTGCCCGATAACTTGACAAAAGCTGGTTCTGCGGCTTTTTGAGAAGGAAGATGAAACTGAAAGACTAGATGTATATGCTTAACATTTGCGGGGCGGGGGGAGGACAGGCAGGATCTTCATACTGAATTATTAATCTATTTTCTGGTAAATAGACTGCAGTATATCAGTGCAGGATGATTACCAATGTGTCTTTTTTCAGTTGTTGTGCACCTGTGAAAGCTAGCTGCATTTCTTATATCAATGATTGCTGCAGCACTATTCAATTTCAGATATCAGTAATGAATGTTACTTTTCTCTGGTTAGTGTTTCTGTGGAATGCTAATTTAAAGAGTACTTTTATTGATTCATTGATCTGTTCCTAGACCAGTGCTCAATCGGGTGGTCATAAACATCATATTTTTCCATTAATCTCTTCTGCCTGCTCGGTTTTTCTGACCTGGTTATTGTGCTCCGTGTCACTAGGACATTAGTCTCAAACCTACAGATAACAAATACCTACTTGTGCAAATGGTTTCCAAATGGTTTCCTTAATTTCAAGGAGGGTACTTATTAATGTGATGAAGTATAAGCCTTGCTTTTTTTTTTTTTTTTTTTTAAAGGAGAATGTTAGAGATAATCATAAAAGATCAAAAGCATTCCACATATGTTAGGGAAGGGCAGGAGGGGCCTTTGCATAAACACCAAGGGTCGCTGAAAGATTCAGGCTATCGAGACTATAACCTTGGATCTCCCACAAAACACACAGACTTTATAATCGTTTAAAACTGTTCTTTTTTTAAGGTATATCCAACAATATTTTTTTTCTCTTGGAATTGACTTCTAAGATATTTCTTTGCTAACCACTTGATTTTTATTCTGTGGCAGGAAAATAAAATATCAGTATTCAGGTTTGTAACTAAGCTGCAAGCACAAGAACAGCTGAAAGTTGAGCTGCCGGAAGAGGCTGCTTTGGAAAATCAAAGTCTTGAACTATCTTAGGGTATTCTGCATTTGCACAGCTGCACTCATATCTAGGTAGAAGCAAGGTTTTGAAACCCACTGCCAGCTTACCCAAAATGATCCTGCCCACAAAATTTCTCTCTAAATAATAAGCCTGTTGAAGTGTTTTGCCCTTAGCTACTCCTGTTGTTTCCACAGTCAGACTAGCATAGCATTTCATCTGGCCAGAAAACTACTGGAGAACTCCAATTTGTCTTGGAACATCAGCCAGCAAAATCTTGGCTCTTAAGTGTTTATTTCTTGCTGACAACATGAGCAAATATTATTCACCACTAGCTGTCAAATGATCCACTAAATCCAACCAACTGTAAGTCCCTGTTGAAGGCCCTCTCTAATCCAGGATGAAAGAAAATGGTTGTGGGTATTTTTTGTTGTTGTTGCATTTTTTCTTTCCAGAGAAATGTGTCACAAGTAAGATGTAAACAAAGAATATTTTTTTTTCCTGTCCTTCAGGCAGCTCAGTAGGTGGAGCTGGGCTAAATAGACAGTTAGCTAGTGATTCTTGTGATATTGCTTTAAAA